TTTCTAGTGTCTTTGCAGCTCCGCTTTTAGCCGGCATTCCATTGACACATAAGAATTGGAGTAAAAGTTTGACTATAACAACCGGGCATGACTTGTCACAGCTGGACTTTAAGGTACATGGAAAGACCTTTTCAAAGCAGGTTCACTGTTTTAAATTATGTAAAAGCTATTGGCAAAATCAGAAACATTGGTATTCGTTATGGCAACGAGAAATTTATCAGAAATTGCACAGAGGCAAGTACAACGGTTTGTTATCTTTTCGGGTGCATTTTGATGGCATTGTTCAGATTAATAGAAAATGGCAAATCTTCCGATACTCCTGCAGCAGTAATATACAATGCAGGTATGTTTAATCAACAAGAAGTTTTTGGGACTTTGAAGGAATGGGCTTCGAGAGAACTGAAAGTACAGTTTCAGCCTGGGACTGTAGTTGTTGGCAAAATTGTTGAATACGCTTTTGCAGTACCAATGGATGTTTTTCCATAGTCTTATTTATATTTCAAGTTGGTTTTAATCGTTTGGTCGGAAGAGAGAAAATATTTGGTCCTCTGCTTTCTAAAGTTATCTCTTATTCATATTATTTTGTTTCTGGAAATTTCTGTTCTTCCGAAATCGCAGTATAGGATTTGATAGATCGAGTCTGGGATCAGTTGTTTAGTATTAGCTAATAACGCTCGTTGAGATTCACCAGTTCCTTAATGCGCTTTAATTTCAGAGTATTTGTCAAACAGCAGTAACATTCGATTCCGGGCAATGGATGTGATGAATATTGAGTTTCTGCTGAGACAACCTGAAGCAAGAGAAGTCGGATATTTCTATTTGATTTCTATTCGATTTGGATGACCCATTGCATTTTAGATTGTGATTTGGGAATCCGTCTTCGATGAAGCCTATGCATCCTAAAAAGTTACAGCTTTTACAAAAGAGTCTTGAATATGTACCTGCCTATGGATTTACCAGTGGCGCTGTGAAAAAAGCAGTCGAAGATCTTGGCTTGTCGCAGGCGGCGAAAGGGTTACTGGAAAGAGGTCTCATAGAGCTGATTGAGTTTCATCATACTGACGCAGACAAAGAGGCTGCAATTTATGCACACCAGATTGCAAACGAAGATTTGGAGAGCAAAGATGTTATCATCGCCGTTTTGCAAAAGAGATTTCAATTGAGTGGACCTTTTCAGCCTCACTGGTCTAGAGCAATGGCGTTGGAACACTTACCACAAAATTGGCCTGACGCAACTAAGCGCCTGTTTTATTTTATTGGTGAGCTTTTGCATGCAACAAAAGATAAATCGACAAATGTAGGTCGTCCTTGCTTTTAGTATTTTCAAAGTTTAACCTCGTTGAAAAAGGGTTCGTGGTATACTAAACGTTTTGCCCTTGCTTCAGTTTATAGAGCTTCGGAATTGTACTGGGTTTCAGACTCATCTGATAGTCAGAAAATGACAAACTCTTTTATTGCAGAACTGGTAAATAGCTGGAACAAGGCAGATTCAGCTTTGGGTCTATGGGATGCGAAGGCAAGTGAAATTTGTAGTCTTGGCTTTCGTACTGCAGAAAGTCTATTCCGCTCTGTACGTAGTGGTTTTTAAAGTCTTCTCAGAATTAGACAGCAGTTGCAACTTTGGGTAATATTGACACGATTAGTTGTAATCAACTACACTAGTCCTTGTATCACGGAATGGACTAAACTGATTTAGAAATCCATAGTGAACAATTGCAGAAACAATAGCGTAGAGAAGACATGAGAAAGTTTTCATTCTTGTTGTGTAAGAAAATGAGTGGAAATGTTTTACTTTCGGTTTCCCTCATCATCAAGTCGTTTACTCAAGAACATGGGAATGTTTTGACAGTGAGGATAACAGCTGAGAGTATTTTTTTCTCTTTGATAAAGGCTTGTTTCATCGGCACAGAGTCTATTGACGTTTTATTCTTTGATCACAGAGTCGCATAGGAAAAGCTTTCCTACTTATAATCACATAATTTCATCCATTCAAAAAAATTCCTCACTAGGAGCTAAGAGCTTCACAAGCAGGACCTTGAAATGTTTCTCGCTCAGCCAAAACTCCTACATTCTGGAAAACTTCAATATCTTTACTATCTTTCGCGGAATCATCGTATAAAATGACCATTCCGTTCATGCACAACTGTCAAATCCTTCCTTGTCAGGATTTTATGCTGTGCAAGGAATATTCATTGAACTCGAATCTTTGATGATCCACAGAAATACATCTACCATTCTACGAAGTCTATCACCAATTTCTGGACAGCTCTCTCATCAGTGCTTCAGAGATCCTTGGATACTGGAACGCTTAGCAAATACAAAAAAAAGAGACAGCAAAGAAGAAATATTCTCTCTCTCTCAAGTGTGCATCTTTGATGCACGCGCTTGAAGGCAAACAACCAACCACAACTGATAACAACGCACACCATTCAACATCTTCGCTATAACTTCGGGTGCAATCGTCAGGAACCAACTTTCCCAAGGCCAAAAGACTTTTGCAAGGTCTCCAAAGAAACCCGTCCTCTTCAAGAAGTTTGCTGAAGTCTCTCAGGTTTCGATGCCTCTGTCCATTTCTCCAGTCGGTTTGATTTTCAACGGCAACAAACCCAAAAATTCCGCCAAGAAGTGAATATCAAACTTCTCAAAATAGTAACTAAGGTTCTCTCAAAATTTTCGTATTAATGTGAAATAAATGAGTCACGTGAAGAAAAAATTTTTTTTGCAATCTCATCTAAAACAACTGCATTCCTAAAAGTCAAGTTCATTACGCTCTCAAAGCAACCACAACAACCTTGAGAATTCAATACCAAACAATTTTAAATACGTAAATTTGAATAAAAATATTGGAGCAAAAAACAACAATGGCCCCGTTCTCGCTACAACGTAACCAACAACTCTAAGACATCTCGCCATATTAAATTTCAAAACTACATTTTCTTAAACAACTCAATAATATGCCTGCAACAAAAAATTAAAAATAGAAATGATCTTAAAAAGTATTTGTCAAAAAATCAAGTTCACTAGAAAAAAGAAAAATTTTCATTTCAGTAAAAAATTAATCTGATCAAAAGTTTTGTAACACATTATCAACACAATCTTAAATTAAAGCCTGCATACAAGGCTACCTTTACGCTTCTTACTTTAAACACTAGAAGACCAGGCTTGTTTTTCAGCAATTGCAAATTAATTTCTTTTTAAAAGCAGGCATGACCAAAATTTTTTTGTGTTTACATGACAAATAATTAAAAACAATTAATAATATTAGCTTGTTTTATCACAAATTAATATGATCATGTAAATTTATAAATATCTTTTTTCTGTCTCCAAAAATAAGCTTGGTTTAATTCTTTAAGTCTTCAATTCATTTATCCCGTTTTTGAAGAAAAATTAACGCTTTTATTCAATTATTCTTTGTTGAAAGAAATTATTTGCTTTATTTCATATTAGCAGGTGCTTCGAGAATTCGGTAACTTTGTTGTTGGTATTGAACTCTTTTAGAATATGACAAAATATTACCCTATTTATTTCCCTGAAGTTAGCTACGTGAAGCAAATATTTCTTGCTTAAGGATTTATTTATCTTGAAAACTTTTGTTATTTTTTTTTGTTTGTATTAGTTTAAAAAAATCTCAATACTTTTTGCAAGTATTCCATATATTGGATCAAGTTTGTAATGAATTGCCTGTAAATCGTTTCCTACATGGTGAAACAAAAAGAGAATTTCTTTCCTACAGTCCTGTAATTGACTGAATCTCGGTAAATCGTTTTTCATGCTTTTGATAAAAACTTGCTTTTTATGGCAAATGGAGACTTCGCAACGTTAGAATACATGCATTTAGGAGTTAACTTTCTTTCCTACTAATGAGCTGAACTACTTCGAATAGGCACTTTCTTTTCAATTTTCCTTTATGCTGTCCTCGCTATCCAAACTTAGTGTTTTCAGAAGACTTGTCTCAGTATTTCTAGTGCTATTCTGTGTCTCACTTATAACAAGTCATGTGTTCATTGGTATTCGAACCTTTCATAATTTCGTAGGAAATAAAAACAAGAAAGCATTTCCAAGTGGCATTAAATAAACGTCCAAAAGAAGTCAGAGTAACGAAAGATTCTTCCATTGTGTCGAAGAGTTGTCATGTTCTGGCGACTCGTCAGTAAAATCTTTTGGAGATCACGAAGAAATTAAATTTTCTAAATATAGAAATGTCCGCCGAAATTCCGCAATTCTCAACAGTGTTGTGGCTCCTTAATTTTTTGGAAAAAGTGCGAAAGGATTCCTCCTAGCCGTCATGCGTGGTTTTTCCTACCGTTTACCCGCTGCTTTCTTAGAAAATGACGTTGTTATGGCTTGGCTACTTGAAGAGGATGTAGAAAAGGGTCTTTCAGCCGAAGTTGTTCGTCAACGAATGACTCCCGTGCAGGCAACTTTCGCATACAAATCGATTGAGTCTTGGCACCAAAGAAAAGATATTGTTTTGATCATTCCCAGCCAAACTGTCGGAAACTTTGCTTTATGTTATGTAAGGAACTCTCAAATTTTCATTTCATTATTTAACACGAAATAGTGTTATGGTCCACTCAATCAGTCACTTATTGATAAAGGAAAAGTGGAAATTGCTTGGTGTCGCCTGGTTTTTGACTTGCAAAAGTTTTATCTCCTACAGGTATCTTTTTGTTTTTTGAGCATCTTTTTTCATTATCAACCACTTAAAGTTTATCAGATCTGAAGGAAAGATAAGGAGCTGGCTACTGCTTGAGGTATGAAAAATCCACACTTTGAAGATATGGAATTGAACTTTTTTTATGGTGTTTAGCATATTTCTACTACCAAAACAATTCAAACGACTACTACTTATTTTGAAGCAGAAAAAAGTCGCAATCATTGTCTTAAGACAGTAACCATTTCTGTAGAACATAGTTGTGCTCTTTGTCAATTAGCGTCAGACAAGTGTCTTTGTCATTCGAAGCAGTCTGAGAAACGACACGATACTTCCCTTCTGCAGTCTTCAGTTACTGCGGAACCCTTGAAAGGTCATTTTACCAAGTTGGGCAAGATTTCCTTCTCAGTACCTCCTTTTTCTGGTTCTTTGTTTGAACTCTTGTCTACGTCTCCAAGTCGTGGATATATTGAAGTTGCGCAGTACAGTATGAAGAAAGGAAATCTTCTTCATTATTCTAAAGCTGAATGTTTTACAAATGTACTTCCATTGAAACATAAATTGGCAGAATCTTGCTATTTCCAAGCTATAGAGTCTCTGTTGTCAAAGACGAGAGCATATTATCCGAGTATTCCATTGAGTTTTGAGAAATACGACCATCAAAGGTTTCTAAACAAGACATTGAAGACTTTAGATCATGTGTCTGAACATCCTGGGTTTTCTTCTAATGTTTTGAACAGTCTCACTTCTCAGTGGCCTGATAGTCAAGAAGGTCAGAATGATGAGTGTTCAGCAAATGAATGGTTTCTTTCACCTTTTTCTTCTAAATACTCCTTGGATACTTTAGAAAGTTCAGAGACAAACTTTTCTGATAGATGGGACTTATAAATTGAGTCTGTATAGTCTATGATAAGCAACGATGTAACGTAAAGTGAATTTTCAATTTGTTGAGAGTAAAAGAATATTTCTTTATGGATGACAGTGATTGCATCTTTTTGAGAGATTCTTTTCCTGAGAGAAAAGAATCATCGACCTCATCTATTGACATTGCGTTGGAATATTGTTTTGGAAAAGAGGTTGTGACTCGATGATGTCTTCATCATCCAACAAAAGCCCACCTACTGAAAACTCTTTCTGGAAGTTGGTACATTTTGAAAAAACACCTTATTGGTTACAAGATAATGAATACATTCGTAACTATTATCGAGTACCTATGAGTGTATGGGATAGTCTAAAGAGTGCTTTGTTTGGACTGCACAACGAAACTATGAATATCTATACTCACTTGATAGGGTTCTTTATTTTTGTTGGCATTACTTGGTTTACTTTGAGTTTCCTTTCTAGTCTGTTGAAGCAACCACTTTCTTTGGAACAATATATTGTTTCAGGCACCAACCCATCATTGTCTAGTCGCTTGGAAACCTATTCTTTAGACGCTTGGAGTGGCTTTCTTGGAGTATTGCTTGAAACCAAAAAGTTTTTTCTCGGTTTTCTTCATTTTTCTTGTAGATTAGCTTCTTCAAGTTATTCCTTGAGTGCAGCTTCAGTAGAAAGATACTGGTCAGCTTTTCAAGATTCCTCTTTATTTTTCAGAAGTTTTCCTTTTACACTTTTGGATGCCAGTTGGAGTCATAAGCTTTCACCAGACAGAGACTCTTTTGTATCTCAAGTCTTTTGGAAGGTTATTGATGAACATAAGACCGCATTACTTTTCTTATTGACAGGAGCTTGCGTTTGTCTGTTTTGTTCTACAATATTTCATATGTTTTTTAATGTTTCTGAAAGTTGCTTTAAGAGTCTTAGTCGTTTGGACTATGCCGGAATTGTATTTTTAACTATGGGTCATTCCTTAGTGGGTACTTATTATACTTTGTATTGTATGCCAGAGTTGTCTAGAAGATACAATATTGTCATTTCTATAGCAGGCTTATTGACATTGGGAGTCACTTTATATCCGGCATTTGATGCACCTCATAATCGATTGACTCGTGCATTGGTTTTTGTATTATTTGGAACTGTAAGTGGATTGCCTATTCTCCATGCAGGTTGGCTTCACGGTTTTGGTCATGTGGAATATATGCATCATGCCCAATATATGTTTATCATGGCAACATTTTATCTATTGGGTGCTTTCTTCTTTGTTACTAGACTACCTGAAAGATGCAGTCCTGGAAAGTTTGATTTGTTTTTCAACAGTCATAATTTGATGCATATTTGTGTATTGATAGCTGCACTGATTCATTGGTATGGATGTATGCAGTCGTGCATTTATCGACTTCATCAAGGATGTGCCTTATCTCCCATTTTGTCTCAAACTTTTCTTTCTTCGTAATAAATAACTAGATCATTTTCAGCTCCTGAAACTATTATTCGTTGTCTTGTTGAATAGGTCCATTGTTTGATTGCAATCCATTTTTCTCTACTAGTAGAGAGATGAGATAGAATATGATCTTTCAATCCACTACCATAACCATGTAAACCATTAGGAGTTTGTAATAGGAAATATCTTCTTCCTGCTATTAGGAAAGAATGAGTTGTTAATATGGACGAAAAAGGTAGCCATTGGATGGTGATAGGAGGTGATGATGATGATGATGGTGAAGAAGAGTAATGAACGACCAAAGGATGAATGGGTTCTTTACCACTTATCCATATTTCTCCTTGACAACCAAGAACAGCCAATTGCCAACCACTCAGTGCAATATCTAATGCAGGATGGTCCTCAGAAAATGTATCCAGTCGTTGTGGTAGTTGAATAGGACAACATAAATGAGTCCCAAGTTGTAGATAAAGATTGTTACCAAATACAATAACTCGGCCATTCTTTAATAACACTGCGCTACTCATATCGCAACATGCCACTTTTTGTGCCATCTTGGATGGAATGGCTTCTATTCTTGTCAGTTGATGAGAATATTTGCATTGAATATGTACAGATTGGTCACTTTGAATCTCCCAACCTATACCCAACTGCCCATAGTCATTGGTTCCCCATCCATATACATCGCCTTCATCAACTATGACTAGAAAATGATCTCGACCCGTTGCCACACTTTGATAATAACAGATAGTGGAATCCGAAGACCAAGATGACCAATGTTGGAGGCTAGGTGATGAAGACCCGATATTCGATGAAGGAAACACTACCAGTTTTGCTCCACCGTCAGCAATCAACACCAATAGATTAGAAGAAGCACTCAAGCTTTGGATATCACAAATATCAGGGTTCACAAGTGGTAACCAAGAAGAAGAGTGCTGGGACTGGTTTTGAATGGAAGAGGGATAGTCAGTCCAATCTTGCAAAAAGTAAGGACCACGATAAAACAGGTGGCCTTGATTATCCACCAAAAAGATACTAGACCAAGTAGTTTCCAAGGCTCTAAGTGGAAAGTGAAAGTTTTCTGGGAATGTTAAACAGGTCCAAACCACATTATTCTCATCAACACTACTCTTATTGCCATAAGCTGGAGTGTCGTCTTGAAACAAGTTTCGACCACAACGCCAAAGGAAAGCTCTATTCTCTCCGTAGTTTGTACAACTCATAAGTTGGTATTGGAACGGAGACAGTACAAAAAAAAGAGAGAGGTGCGCAACTATTGAACAGTTTAACCCTCTCCTATGTGTTATTTTCTACAGGTCCCAAAAGTTGGCTCTCCTTATTCCAACTCTTAGTGGAAAGAAATTTTCTCAACTTTTCAAATGATAGCTATTCATTCTTTACCATTCAAAACAAGACAGGAATAAGGATCTTATTCAAAGCCAAAAGAAATGACGACCATAAATAACATTTCCTTCGGATAACGATTCTAAATTGTCCGGTGGATATTGTTTTTTGTGTGAATGTCGTATTCGTGTGCTTCGTGTGGTTACATTTCTTCAACTCTAGTTTATACTTGTGGTAAGAGAAAGTTTCAAATACAAGTTGATAAAAGGAATATATATCAAAAATGGAGACTTCATAAGAATAAAAAGCAAAGTTGGGTGACTCTCTCAACATTGTCTCATTCTTCTGTGGAAGTGAAACCAACATCCCACGAAGCTGAAAGAAAAGAATATAGTTGGGATAGACAAGCCTGGTTACGTGGTTGGGAAAACCAGGAGAAAGAGATAAATATTGAAATAGACTTGGAGAATAATGAACAAAATGGAGTGACTGGTGAATTACCTGTGGATATAAGAGGAACTCTATTTAGAGTGGGTCCTGCTCGATTTCGAGTTGGTTCAGATATCGTTCGTCATCCTTGGGATGGAGATGGAATGGTGGCAGCTATCACTTTTGACCAAAAAAAGATATGGTTTCGCAATAGATTTGTGAGGACAAAAGGATACATGAAGGAGTCTGCTGCAAATAGAATCTTGTTTAGAGGAACTTTTGGAACTCAAATTCCAGGTGGTTGGTTGAAGAATGTATTGAATATCCAAATGAAAAATGTGGCCAATACAAATGTGTTACTATGGAATAGAAGACTATGGGCTCTATGGGAAGGTGGACTACCCTATGAACTGGACCCAGGAGTAAGATGTTTCTTATTTCATGTTTTAAGCCAACTTTTTGTTTGATTATAGAATTTGATAACTTTGGGTGAAAAGAGATTCGATACATCTATCATGTCCAATTTTACAGCGCATCCTAAAATAGAAACGGATACCGGACGCTTGATTGGTTTTTCTAGTCAATTGGGTGTTCAAAGTTCTCAACTGACATTTTACGAATGGGATGAAAACTTTACTTTGTTGAGTCAAAGAAAAGTTCGTATTCCTGGTTTCGGTTTTTATCATGATTTCGCTATCACGCCCCATTATTATATCCTGTTTCAAGGGCCAATCGATTTCACACCTTGGAAATTTGTATTAGGGTTATGTTCGGCAGCCGAATGCATGAGCTTCCGAAAGGAGAGACCTGCTAAACTGTTTCTAGTTCCACGTCATTCAAGTGCGCCTGTCAAAGAACTCCATGTCAAAAGTGGCTTTGTATTTCACTTTGCCAATGCTTTTGAGGAAGAACAAGAGATGAATATCGATGTGGTTCGAGTACCTGATTTGTTCTTGGGAGGAATCAGTGAAGCAAAGAACAAAAGCGTAGTGGAGCAAATAGACTATGAAAGCCAAGTTCCCCGATCTTGCTTGTATAGATATCGAGTTGATTTATCAGGCAATGGTAAATGTATTGAAGAGAGTCTTATTTTGGATAGACAAGTTGAATTTCCTATTGTACATCCCAATTGTATTGGAAAACGGCATCATATCATTTATGTCGGTATCAATGCAGGTCAACGAGTTTCACCTATTCAAGGAGTTGCAAAGGTTAATCTTGTCGATGGAGCAGTCGATATGTGGATTCCCAAGCCTTTTGAATTTGCTGTAGAACCTATATTTATTCCTAAAGAAGGATTCTCGTCGAAGAGAGAGTTGAGCTCTGAAGATGAAGGATATCTTATCACTTTGGTGTATGATGGTAAACGGAACCGCTCTTATTATGCCATTTTAGATGCTCAGCGAGTTCAAAGTAAGTATGATAGTTGAAATTTGAGAGTGCTGTATGACTGGATGCTTATAGATGGCCCTATTTGTACGATTCAGTTGCCTATTGCCATTCCACATGGACTTCATGGCATGTGGAGTGATGAGCTATTTTCCAAAAAGGAAGCCAAACAATCAAGTACATATGAAATATTTTATTCCAAGAAGTGGAATACCTTTCAGTCCGATTTTCCAATGCTCTAAGAACACAGGGGTTATTGTAGTTATGCTGGGTGAATAAAGGGTTGGTCGCCTCCCGTAGTAAAGGGATGCAGAACAGGTTCTCCTTGCAACAATTCAACACAATGAGACACAGTGGGTAAAACAACTTCCAAACACTCACGAACTCCCCTACTAGACCCAGGTAAATTGACTATGAGTGTCTTATTCCGGATACCTGCCTGTTGTCTGGAAAGTATAGCTGTCACAACTCCTCTTTCTCTCGACACATTTCTCATAGCTTCACCATAACCTGGCAAAAGTTTATCACAAACTGCAACAGTAGCTTCTGGAGTCACATCTCTAGGTGCAGGTCCAGTGCCACCCGTAGTAAAAACAACACAACACCGACACTCATCACAAAGATATCGTAACTTTTCTTCAATTTGTAGTTTTTCATCAGCAACTGCCATACGAATAAACTCAAGCTCATCATAAAAATACAGTGATAAAGTTTGTTCTATAGCTGGACCACTCAGGTCAGAATACTCTCCTCGTACAACTCTATCGGATACCGTCAACACCCCTATCGGCAACGTTGTTCTCAAGTTGTTGACTGGATCCATTCACCAGGCAATTTGAAGTTTACAAAAGGAAAAGTTCTTGTCTCGAAAAGCTTGTTCAATTTTCCATATAGGTTGGTACAGCACAGGTCTCTTAGGCACACAAAGAATGGCACCACCACTACCCACCAATTTAGCAGCCCATCCTTCTTGACGAGCCAATTGAATCATTTCTAAATTGCCTCGTCCGATGACTTGGTTTCCTAACAATTGTCTACGATATTCAAAATTGGTATCCACATAATTGGCCAATTGTTCCGAATCCAACTCATTCTTCTCTCTCCAATCTTTTCGAAGCTTATCTGCAAGTTCACCTAAGGAATGCATGATTTGTAATACCAAAGGCTCCTTATTTCTCCAACGAGCACCCAAGTTGCTATGAATAGTACCCGAGAACTTTCCTTGAGGTAACCAAGCAAGATACATATCAGGCAATGAAATTTTCTTCAATCTTTCATATTGACCACAACCTTGTTTCAACTCTGAAAAATCCATATAAATGACACCTTCCATGATTTGAGCCACTCTGTCTTGCAACCCAGCAGATATTGAAAGTAATTCAGTTTCACATTGTAAAATAATAGTAGGCCACTTTTCCAAGGGTGCTAACTGAAGCATAGGGATTTGATAAAAGGTTGCTAAACATCGAAAACAAGCAACAATGAGTGCAGAAGAGCCACCAAAGCCTACTTGACGTGGAATAGTGGAAGAATAATGCAACTTACAATTTCGTGAAATGACATGCTTCTGTTCACATAAACGATAGAATACAACACAAGCAGCTTGTAACAACCGCAAACCACCATAAAATCCGCAAGACGATGTCACATCATTCATTTCTGCTAAAGATGAAAACTCGAAAGAGTCGTGAATAGGATGAGGAACAATTCCAAAAGTATCGCTTGGTTCAGCTATGACTTGAGCAAATCCACAGCCTTCAATGGTACAGGAAATAACTTTGCCTCCGTATCCATCTGAAGGGTTGCCAATAAGACCTACTCGAGGTAAAGCTCTTCCAACTGCATTTTCGTTGCAAGTTCGACCTTTAGGTTTGAAATAAATGAAATCGTCATCTAAAGCTTCACAATCTTCTCTATTACTTTCTCGATAAATAAACCTTCCCGCGGCTTCCTTAAGAAAGCAACATGATGTAAACCACAATGCTTCCTGATATTGTGCTAGATTTCCAATATCTAAACGATAAGGAGTCATGTACAAGTATACTCTACGAACAGAACACAGCCACGAGAGAAAATGACCTGGAGCATCCATATTTCTTAGTTGAGTTGGGTCACTCGATATATATTTTTCCAAATCTTGCTTTAAATAGGAAGAGAAAAGATATACGGGAATGGAAGCTATAGAAGAAGGAGCCTCACTGGGATGGGAAGGTTTTTCTATTACATCGAGAGCACAAATGCCATTCGAAGTAGGTTGTACTCTAAACACACCTCTTCTACACAAGTCTTCCTTGTTCTTGGGTTCATAACCTACGACCAAAGAGTCCAAAAAGTGAAGAGATTGTAAAAACTGGGTCAACAAGTCTTGCAGATTCAAAAAAGGTACTAAAGTATCTCCTGCTATAACTATATAGGAAGAGTTGTTCACTTTTTCCAAGTTGTGGTTATGTAAGTATTCCACTGCTAGCCATAAGTCCCTTATTGCTCCCATTCTATTCTCGTTACTAGTTACTGTATTCATTATTACTTGTATTTGAAGATTGGAATGGTTGAGTTGTTTGAGCCACTGTTGGTACTGTTCGTAGTATTTGGCGTTGGTGACTATTACTGTGCAAGCTATCTCTCGGCCACATCTTTGTAAGGATTCCAACCAGTGATCAACAACTGTTTTACCTCCCAAAGGTAATAATGGTTTCGATACATTGACAAGTCTTCGAAAAGCATGACTTTTATCTTCTTCTATATCTTGAACTAGACGAGTACCAAAGCCTGCAGCAAGAACAATGGCATACCACATTAGACAATTCGAATGAATGGAATTTGTCACGAGTGGGAAGAAGAAGAAACCACAAGGAAACTTTTTCTTTTATTCACGGAAGGACTTTGTGAGTTTGTATGTGACAAGTTGCGTGAAAGTTTAGGGAAAGATAATTGGCAACTCTTTGTTTCGTCACCTCCTCCTTGGTCTGCAGAATATTGTCTGAAAGTTATTTTAGATCGTTGGTTTGCAGTATTTTCAGAGTCTTGTCTAGGAAATGTTGTTGTCACAAATTTGGGAAAAGGAAAGGAAGTATTCAGTTGGATATATGGTACGAGAATGGATTTTTTAAGAGGAAAGAACTTGTCTAGCAATCAAATTGAGTTATTGAATCAAGCAGTGAAGGAAATATTGGTTGCCATACGTTCCCCTTTTGCTGGTTTATTGCCGACCCATTCTAGTTTTGAAGATTACGTTCCTTTTACAATTAATTTCAAAAACTTTGGCCAGGAGGAAGCTATGGAAATTGACAAGGTTACTTTTCCTTCAGAATCCAGTAGTCATGTATCAATTATGGGAGAGGAGGATATTTGGTTGAATGGGAAGACAAAGCCGTTGATAGTACTGGATGGAGCCAATATTGCTTGGAAACATGGCAATCATCAAAAGTTTTCTGCTTTGGGTATTGTTTTGGCTTTTGAATTTTTTAGTCAACGGCAATTCGAGTGTGTTTGCTTCTTACCCGAAACGTATTGGCAGCCATCTACTGAGTCTTCAGTTTGGACTCAACTGGCTGTGTGGAGAGACACCCATCGTTTGATATTAACACCAGTTGATGACTATGATGATTCTTACATGTTATTCTATGCACAAAGACATAGTGGTTTGATTGTATCCAATGATCGATTTTTGGACCACATGGAACAAACTTCAGTAGATGAACAGAAAAGGAAATTGGCAAAGTGGTTGTCACGTTGTCGAGTAACTTTTGTATTTGGAGACAATGAGTTTATTCCTAATCCTTCATTCAATATGGCTGCGGCTTGTGAATATATTGACAAACTTTGAACTCCCATAATTTGATCTGTAAATAAAGAAGAACAACGTTATTTATCTATTATATCCATAATAACCGAACATGTTGCCCCCGATAACTGTCACAAGTTATTTCAACCAGTCTCATGTATAAAATGTATAAACTGTTGCAAGTGTCTTAAAGTAGACTCCACAGTGTCGACAAGAACTTGTTTGTTTTGACTATCCTTTTGAGAATTTCTTTCCAGTTGTAAAGCTAACAAGTCAGCTTTTTCCAAATCACGCAACATTTGATGATATATGGATTCCGCTTGTTTTCTTCTTTCACTTCCTTTCGTTGTCCTTTTCATATATATCTTGGTACAACTCTTTCTCAACAGACTGAAAGGAGGTGATCTCAATTGCAGACGAAAATCTTCCCATCGGTTCTTTTCTAAGAAAGAAAGCAATACGTGTAACTCAGTTATCACTTGTTGCACATTCGCAATATATTCATCCACATCTTGTTGTTGTGCGTATGAACAATTTGGTACAGACAACAAAACCAAGCAGTAAAGTAGCCCTCCTTGAATCAGTTGTCTTCTATTGCAACAGGAGTAGGGCACAAGTTGACAGCATATAGGTGATGAGAATGACAGTCTTTGACGAGTCCATTGACCACCGTATTTCTGAAGCACCAAAGTACAAGAAAAGCAACTTAAAAATGCCATCACGGACAATATCCAAGTTTCAAATGTTCTTTATTTTCCTTTCCAAATCTTCCACATCAACCACTTTCTCTAAACGACAATTACCTAAATACTTTTCAATTTCCTGCAACTGCTTCAAACTTGTTCGGTCATAAACGAAATTGATAGCAAGACCCTTACGACCAAACCTTCCAGTTCTTCCAACTCGGTGTAAATAGGTTTCTGGATCAGGTTGATTATTCACATCTAGAGGCAAATCATAATTGACAACCACAGTTACTTGTAAGACATCTACTCCCCGTGCCAATACATTGGTGGTTACCAATACTTTAGTAGTTCCCCGTCGAAACTCATCAATAACACGATCCCTTTCTTCCGGTGACATATCTCCGCCATGTAACAAAGACACCGTATGACCTTCGTTTCGAAGTCTCCTGGTCAACTCATTGGCACTTGCTCGAGTATGCACGAAAATAATCGATTGTCCGATAGTCAAACAACCATATATATCTGATAGTAGATCAAAACGTTTGTCTGCACTTTCACACATAAAATAATATTGTTGTACATTGTCCAAGTTGAGTTCTTCTCTTTTCACCGATATTTGACTGGCATTGGGTGCTACTCGTCGTGCCAATGCTTGTACTTGCTCCGAAAAAGTAGCAGAAAATAACAAAGTTTGTACCTGTGGATGCAAAGCTCGTTTAATACGAAGTGTTTGGTCACCCATTCCTTGCGTATCCACCATTACATCAGCTTCATCAAGGACAAATATCTTTACAGTAGCTGGGTTGAATAGCCTTCTTTTGATCAAGTCCATGACTCTTCCCGGTGTTCCTATAATAACATGGTCACGAATAGTTGAGAGGCGCATGTTTCGTTCTTCTTCTGTTTGCTTTACTGCACAAAAAACTCTTACTCCCGTATATTTGCCCATGCTTTCTAATACGAACAATATTTGTCGAGCCAATTCTCTTGTAGGAACCACACAAAGCGCTTGAACGTCTTCTACTTTGGTATCCACTCTCATTAACATTCCCAACACAAAACACGCCGTTTTCCCACTTCCATTCTTTGCTTGACCTATCAAGTTCTTTGGTGGATCTCTAGCTATGAGGGGTAGAGAAGTTGCCTGTATTCTACTCGGTTTGTTAAACTTCATGGCATATACTCCTTGCAATAACTCTTTAGATAAACCCAATTCTTCAAAAGTAGAGACGGAAGAATAAGGAGTATTAGGGTCGCTTTGAAGGACTTCTACTCGCGAAGTCTCGTCACTTGGGTCAATTCCACTTTCCATAGTAGCCGGTAAGGGTTCATCGGTTTCATTTTCCTTTATACTTATACCTTGTGTTGCTTTCACAGCTTGTTCGATAGTTGCATTCAAAGCTTCACTATTGACAGTTCCATTGCTAGACATCCTTATCACAAAATGAATTGAAGATTTCTCAACTTATTTTTAAAAGATTTTTGTCACATAAAACAAACTTTCATCTTTTTTATCTATCCAGGAGACGATTGTAATAGAACCAAAATTCCTTGTTGTCCAACTAATAACTCTCTAACCAAACTAAACACAAAGAGCCAAATCACTGGTGAAATATCTACACCCCCAACAGGTTGTGCCACCTTTCGAACTGGAACAAGTAAGGGTTCTGTAGCCCAACAAATCAACGACCAAGGGAAACGATAGTTGTACTTTTTAGGATACCAACTGAGAATAATTCTAAGAACCATAAATATGACCATCACAGAACAAACCAAATTGGTGAAGGACGCAAGATATTCCACCCAAAGCCACTTGTGGATAGGTTGTTCGGTTATGGAAGCAATAACTTGAGAACCAACCCAAACTTGTTTTTTTCCTATTAACCACGACTGGAAGTTGATGTTCTCCAAACTCCAGTTTGCTACATAAGTGTTGGGTAAAAGAGATAACTGGATACGAGTAAGGTGAGGACAACATATTGTTCTTTTAAGAAACTGTCGGTTCGATAGCTGAAACAATAACTGACGGTTGTAAAAAGTGGTAAAGTGTTGTTTATACATAAAACATGATACAGTTGTGAAAGACAAGAAACCACTTCCTCTGGTCCACAACCATCCACCTTTCATGGTTGAACAAGTCAATGAATGAAATGAAACAATTTCAGTCAGTTATTTATGAAACCCATTTTCCATCAATAATAAAACTCTTGTCATACTGGGAGCACTTTTGTTTAACATCAACAAGCGCTCATCATTGAGTGACTGATATCGAGCACTCGGTAACTGGAAGAGCTCTTGCCAACGACTTAAATAGATTCGATGATCAACCCTTTCCTTTGAGACTGCAACATCAACTTGTTCTGACAAACCTGAGTCGCATTGCTTCTGGTTCGTACCAATTTCTTCGTTCAAAAGTCCATCTTGCATCCACTTTACGTAACCTTTCATTTCCTCCGATAGATGACACAATTGATTGCCATTGGGTTCTGTCTCTTCCACAGAACCTATCTCTTGTTCGGTTGATAGAGGTAAATCCATCATCTCCTTTGTGGTATGTTGCTGTTTGAGTTTCGTTGCTCTTTTGCGTCTAGAGGTGGACGCCGTCTTCTTCTGTCTCGCAACCACAGAGGAACTACTTGTTTTCAAACCCAACACGAAACAGTAACGAGAACATAAGAATTGAATAGAAGACAAGCGTAAAAGTTGAAAACGCGACTTGACAATTTCCTGCATCTTTTTGTTGCTACTGAAAAATTCCGCAACTTACAACGTAACCAATACCCAAAACAAATCAAATTGTAGCGATGAATAATGGGAGCTTCTGATTGTTTCTAAGAGAGAATGATGACGAATATTATTGGAAAAAGCTATAAGAAAGAATCCAGGCTGAGCACAATTCTTCTTGAATACTAAAAGAACGCTTTCCATAACTACCTGCTATTTCTACTAGTGGAATTGTGTTTTCAATATGGTTGATTTGTTTCAGTTCTTTGCAAGTTCTTGATAACTATATTGTAGATAGTTGAAATATTGTCAAATAAATGTTGCAAATAACACTATTAGTTTTCATATTGTTTACATACGATGACTCCTTGAAACAAATATATATATATATATATATAGACCTAACATATTCTTTTTGATACCTCATAATAATAAGACTAGAAACTAGTCCACACCAGTTATACTCAAAGCTAAAAACATGCAAAAAATAATAAATGTTACGCTCCACCATCAAAAGAGGCAATCTTTTGTCCATTCTAATATGTTTTTTGTTTTTTATTAGCAATGCAACTAGTGCTGTTCCATTTTCCATTTTATCTGTGTACACTTGTGCTAAGAGCCTTTAAAATGTTTTCATTTATATATATTCGTTATTAACTCATTTCATTTCGCCTTGAATGACGCTAAACTCAACAATCTTATGGTAACAAGTTGTATGAGAGCTGAAAGAAAAAGAAAGCCTAAAATAGCTTACTTCATCATTCCCCTCCATCGGAGAAGGGATGCTTTGAATTCTTTGTGAGCGGCCGGAATCTTAAAATTCGTTTCGTTGTTTTACTGTGGATATGACTATGCTGAATGAACATCCAGCCTTTTTGGAAACAACTTATTCCTTGGGAACTAAAACCCGCAGAAACACTGCAAAGTTAAAGAGACACCCATGTAAATTGTACAGGTATTATAACAAGTCATACCAACTGCCTTGTTTGAAGCCCTGGACGATGGCAGTGTCTGGTAGCCAAAAGGAAGGAAAGAAATCCTCTGCTTTATCGACAACTTTTACGTTAAGCAGAAAAATGTCACAAGGCACTCGTACAGACCCATATAAGATAGCCATATTACCGGGAGATGGAGCTGGTCCTGAAATGATGGACGCCACCATGGAAATATTGCAAGCTTTGTCTTCAATGACAGGTGAGAACTATACTAATATGTTGATAAAATGACCAAAGAACGTTTCAGATATCTATTTTCAGTTTCGAACAGCACAATTTGGAAGAGACGCACAATTGAAAAGAGGGAAACCGGTTCCTGAAGAGACCATAGAAACTTGTAAGGGTGCAGATGCCGTTCTGAGAGGTTATGAAGGCTATACAAGGACTGCTTCAACAGGCAATCAACAACTTAGGTCTGCGTTGAGTTTATTTGCACAGTTGCGTCCTGTCGTTGTATGCTGCTGTTATCTATCTTTCTGTTTTGATAATGAATATGTGACCTTTAGGTTTATAAAGAATTGGCAGATATGAGTACGTTGAAAAGACAGATAGTTGAAGGAGTGGATATTATGGTTGTTCGTGAAGTATCTGGTGGTGCTCTCTCCATAGATGAAAACACTGCTCCTACTGGTGAAAACGAGAATGAAGCCTTTTCAACCATTAAATATAAAGATAGTCAAATATATCGTATTATGGAAATTGCAGCTTCAGTGGCCTCACGACGGAGTGGTCGTATTTGCAATGTTGACAAAGCGGTTCGTAGTAGATTCCTTTTTGAAATGGAGAATGCTTAATGGTTTGTAAGGATGTTATGAAAGTGAGTCAATTCTGGAGACGATGTATACATGATTTTGTAAAACAAAATATAGCTGGTGGATATATTGATATTTGTGATATGTGAGCATTGTTATTTGGCTAGTTGTAATTGATGAAGAGTTGGGAATCTTTAGGTATGCTGATGACTGTGCAAGGGAGTTAATTCTTCGTCCACGTCAATTTGACACTATTATAACTTCGAATCTTTTTGGAGACATTATTAGTGAGGTTAGTTTGGGCAACAAAGGAGATATGTAAAGTGAAGTATTTGGATAGGTTGCCGTTGCACTTGCTGGTCCAGCTCGTTTGTCACCATCTGCTTGGTTATCCATTGATGGTTTTGGAGTTTATGGACCTGCGGATGTTTTTAATATCAGTGCATATCCAGAAAGTAGTCTTCCGGCATATAGTACTTCGAGATTTGATGGCTTTGGGAATACCAAACCATATACCAGTCCTATTGCCATGATCCGTTCCGCTTCAATGATGCTTCGTTATTCTTTGGATCAACCTGCAGCTGCAGATTTACTTCAACAGGCACTGCAACGCACCATGGAAGATATTTTAAACAGTGGAGAATTTTCTCAGAATGGTTCCTTCCTTGACCCAGGAACCGTAGGTACCAAGACTTTTGTAGAAGCAATGCTTCGTTCTTTGCAATACATGAGACAATACGTTCAAGTATGTGATCCGGAAATCTGTGGGGAATGAATAAAGATTGCGTTGTTCTTCGTTTAAAGTTGTGCTGATTGGAAGCCTTTTAAAATGTCGAATGACCTTTCCAATCAGTTGAAGGAAACCTGTAGTGTTACTGGCACTGTTTGTGTTTATTTCCGTTGTCACTTTGATTCTATTCCTGGACAAGAAGTACTGATTGCCGGGTCTTGCAAGGCTTTGGGAGGTTGGGATCCCACAGAAGCCTTGGCAATGAAATATTCCGAAAGAGGTCAGTGGACAGCACAAGTCACAATTCCTCTTCAGAGCCTTGTTCACTCTAGTCAACAACTCCACACTCCAGTATTACTTTACTATCGATATTTGGTTGCAGAGGACAAAGGAAAGACTCGATATTGGGAACAAGGTCGATCACGTCAGCTGGAATTGTGTTGCAGTGACTTTAGGGCAGCTCTCCCTGCAGTTATTGTATATGACGATTTTGCAAGAACACTCGATCAAGAAGGAGACATATTTAGTACAGTGGCTTTTCGAGATATAGTCTTCCGTCGCAATGTCAAACAATCAGAGCCAAGTTACTATGAAAAGTACAAAGAAGCATATGAAAATGCAAAAGGCCGTCACGAGAAAACGAAAAGCTATGTACTACAAATACAAGTGCCTGCTTATCAAGTGTATCAAAAGCAGCAAATATTACTTTGTGGAACGAGTGAAGCACTGAAATCTCAATATGATACTCCAGATGGTTTGACTATGTCAGATACTTTTGTTCCTCTTTGGTCTGCCTTTATTTCATTACCTTTGAGTACATCACAATTTGCCTATACCTTTCAAATAGGTGGAGGAGATGAAGTAATAAAGGAGAATAGAGAAATGCGCATCTTTTGGCTTTCTTTGATGGATGAACAAATCATTCGACAATCAACGGGTAAGCTATTGTTTTCTATAAAGCAGTATTGAATATGATGAATATTTCATATGATCAGAGCCTCCATTGGTTGTGTGCCATTCATATCCTCCTTTTTGTCATAATCAGAATTGGAGAGGCTCTGGAATCGCCATTCCTGTTTTTTCTTTAAGAACCCAGGCTTCTTGTGGAGTTGGAGAATTCTCAGACTTGAAATTTTTGGTAGATTTTTGTGTGAAAACCAATTTTCAATTGGTGCAGTTGTTACCCGTAAACGATACTCGAGTTCATAACACATGGGTTGACTCTTATCCTTATTCTAGCGTGAGCATTTGTGCTTTACATCCGCAATACCTGAGATTGGATAGAATATGTGAAGCTCCTAGTTATTTGAAAGCAGAATTGGAAAAGGTAAGTAAACATACCCAAAATGGTATATAAAACACCGCAAAAGAAATATTTTTGAGAAAGAATTATGTTTACTAAGTAAAGATATTATTTCTAGGAACGGAGGCGGCTGAATGAGTTACCATCAGTGGACTATGAGGAAGTGGTCAGATTTAAGGAATATTACATTTTGGAAGCTTACAAGTTGAGTGGCAAAGAAGTATTGCAGTCCAAAGAGTTTTTAGAGTTCTTTGAAGAAAATAAGGCGTGGCTGATGCCCTATGCAGTGTATCGTTATTTGCTGAATACGACTGGAACAGGTGATCATACCAAGTGGGGTAATCGAAGTCATATTACGATGGAGGAATTGGAAGCATTGGCATCCCCAACTAGTCTTCATTTTGATCATATCGGAGTAACTTACTTTACGCAGTTTCATCTACATTTGCAAGTAAGTATTCTCATGTAGTCATAGATTGGGATTGTTGATAGTTGTTAATCATAGTTGTTGGAAGCTTCCCAATATGCTGCAGAACATGGAGTTATTTTGAAGGGAGATCTTCCTATTGGAGTTAATAGAAATTGCTTGGATACTTGGTTATATCCTCATCTATTTCGATTGCATATGCAGGTTGGTTCACATCATGTTCTTATTGTGCAATACTAAAATAGGAATAGTGTGGTGCGCCTCCTGATTATTTTGCCGAATTTGGTCAGAATTGGGGATTTCCTACTTACGATTGGGATCAAATGGCATCGAATAATTTTGAATGGTGGCGGTTTCGATTGAATCAAATGGCCCAATATTTTCATGCTTATCGAATCGATCACATTTTAGGATTTTTTCGCATTTGGGAAATTCCTATTCGTTATGTAAATGGAATATGTGGGAGATTTTTTCCATCTATTCCCATTTCGAGGTAGGAAATGAATATGATAGGTTCTGTGACAAGCAATTTATGCGGAATAATAGGAGTGAGTTGGAATCTAGAGGATTATGGGACATGGATCGTTATTGCAAACCGTGGATAAGAGAATCTTTTATAAGGGAACAGTTTGGAGATGATGCAGGTCAAGTGATGAACATATTCTTTGATCATGGTCATGGTGATTTGTTAAACTTTAAAGAATGTTATGATACAGAGTATAAATTATCCCGTGCGTTTGAACAACAACACCATTTCAAACAGGAATGGCTCGTTCTCTTATTAAGGCTCATCAGCAATGTCATTTTGTTACGAGATGAAGATGAACCTAATCAATTATTCCATCCTAGAATCGACTTGATGAAAACTACAAGTTACAATGAACTTATGGATGATAACTGGAAACATCAGTTTTATGAACTCTATGAGGATTATTTCTTTCATCGACAGGTATCTAGATATACATAGTTGCATTCTTCTCTCGACACAGAATAACCAAATGATGACTCTTTAGGATGATTTATGGAGAAAGAAAAGTATGTTGAAGCTGCCAATGATGAAAAATTCTACGGGTATGTTGGTTATCGGAGAGGACTTGGGAATGATTCCTGCTTGCGTTCCTGATGTAATGAATGCATTATCCATCATTGGGATGCGAATTCAACGAATGCCAGTAAGTATCATGGTTGTTTATGACAGGTACAAGTATTTTATTCTCGTTTCTGTATTTAGGCTGATCCCAAGGTTGAATTTGGTAATCCACAATACTATGAATATTTGACGATAGCTACTCCAGGTTCGCATGATATGGCCACAATACGAGGCTGGTGGGAAGAGATGGAAAATGATCAAAGACAACGTTTTTATGAGCAAGTAAGTAATTTTGTTGAACCATGTATCGATATTGCTAATCGCATGTTACAAAAGATGTTGGCTCGTTCTGGAGATGCTCCCAGAAAGTGTGAAGCTGATATAGTGCAACAAATACTGGAACAACATGTGTCGTCTCCTTCTATATGGGCCATATTTTTGTTTCAAGTAAGTGTTTCAAGTGGGTTGGTTTTGGGTCCTTATTCAGAGATCAGGATATTTTGGGAATGGATGAAAAGCTTCGTCGAGATAATCCAGCAGAAGAACAAATCAATGTACCAGCCAATCCTAAACATTATTGGAGGTATAATAAGTCTTTTGAAGAATTTTTGGTCATTTGATTATGATTTGAATAGGTATCGACTGCATGTTTCGTTAGAAACAATTTTATCATCCACCGACTTTCTTCAAAAGTGTCAGAAACTTAATGAAATCGGTGCTCGAGGTATTCTGTAGTCTGGTATATCAGATATTCTCTTTGGTAGCCGTTGTGTGTTGTAAAATGTTATTTCCATAATATATATTTGCATTTCTTTTGGAAAACTATGAACACTTGAAATATCCACTTGCAGAAATTGACGATACAATAAGAATCTTTCCGGTTCTATTAACCAATTTCCACTCAACATGCAAAGTTCTTTCTAAGCATTTATAACGATGATTGAGATAACATTCGTTTCATTCCCTCATAGACTACAAAGAATATGGCACCACTTGGACCAATATAAAATACTCGTGGACCAAGACCTTTCCAAAATGCTTGCAAACCCTCGTGTTGTACCAATTGCCTTGCACAATCCCATGCACTGCTATAGGCAATAGTTGATACTCCTATCGGCTGTGTCATTAATCTAGTCTTTAAAACATCCAAAGGTGTCGTCACAGCAGCTGTAACACTTCCAGAAACCAAACCAATGACGAGATTTTCTATGTTACTCAGGTCTTCGATAGATGATAATTTCTTCCATTGACGATATCGCCACCTCAACTCTTCATAGCTGAGCAACTGAATGGCTCGAAATGGGATATCTCGTGCTATTTGACCTACGTATCCTTGATAAAACCCTTTCAATCCTTGAGTCATAAATATTTTCCTAATTGCATCCAAAGTATTTGAGTATTGACCTGCTTGTAATCGAGACTTGACAACTTCTGATGGGCAAAGCCATAAAGAACCTGTTAAATCTCCCATGATAGCAGCCAGCACAATAACAAGTCGAGAAGAGGCACGTAAACTACCGGTGAGCCAGCTTTTGTAGATTTCATAAGACCCAAAAGTCAGCATTCCATATGGTACCTGACCAATTAGAGTAGAAACAACTCCCCAATACAAGTACTTTGGCTTTGATAACGCTTTGCGCAACGAATGCCAATAATTAGCTACTCCGCGACTTGTTTCCAACTGCAATCTGGTCTTTATCGTGTCTATTGGATACATAGCAAATACGGAAACTCCTCTAGCTACAGCGCCTGATAGTAGATGAACTATGAACAATCAGCAGTGAATAAGAAAAAATATAAGAAAAAGTAATGCTTACTCCGGGCACGATAAAGGACGGAAATAAAGTTTCTCCAGACTTGAAAAACAGCCTTTAGTAGAGCATCTGGAGGCTTCGCAATCGTTGCTATCCTTTTATGAGTATCGATCGCAATATTAATCTGGTGACAGCGCTTAGAAAAAGTAGGCAACTGAACCAATCCATATGAAGGACTTTTCATCGGAACGCACAAGAGAATAATGAACGAAAATTTGGAATGGGACCATATTCTAATAAAGAGCATGTTTGGATATCTTACTAAGAGATATTGATGAAGAAAAATTCGTAAAGATTATTCATTCAATATTTCAATACTCAAGAGAGTAAGGATAGCACATTAAGTATCTAGTTGGGAAGGTGAAGACGATGTATTTTTCCATTCCCGTTATTAAGGACCTTGAGAATCTTCTCGATGGATGGTTGATGATTACTGACTTATAAGTTCCAAGTTGTTTGCTGAATGTTTCATATAATTGTCTTATTCGCAATGATATATTTGCCAAAAGAAAAATGCTTTGGCGCCAAACCAGGAAAATACAAATGTTTATAAACATTGCACAATTTTGTAGTGCTTAGTCACGAGTTATCTAGTTGAAAAACAGCTTCATTTCATGTCCTTTTTTTATTAGAAAAGGTCGGCTGAGTTTTTAAAATATTTACATCTTGATGGCAAAAGCTTGAACAGTCATGGCATAGCATCATATTCCAATGGCTAGCCATAAATGCATTTGTTTTGGTTGCTACTGTTCCTAGCTTTGGTTCTCGTTCCTGGAATAGCAGTGCTGAAGCTGCAGAACGCTCAAAACACACAAGTTGATGGTTCAGCTCAAGGAAGATCCCAACGTTCAGAGTCGAAAAGAATTCAAAAGCTGAAGCAACATCGGAAAACTTTTAAAGAGAGCACGCCGAAAACTCGTGTTGGTTCTTTATTTGGACAACTTCAAGAGAAACCACACTGCGCTGGAGTTCTTCAATGTCATACAGAAGAAGTTACCTGTTTTGCCTTTCATCCCAAGGTTTGTTACTGCCCTCATTTCGTTACTTCCTGTTTCAACTGTTTTTGTAATAGAAGCGTTGCCTCTTGTCGTGTTCTTCTGACCGTTCAGTGAGAGTTTGGTGGGATCCAATGGATAAACAAGCCAGGTTTTCCAGTGTCACACTGTTTACTTGTGCAGCTTCTGAATACAAGGTTAAATTTCCGGATTCTGCGGAAGCCTGCTGCTGGAGCAAGGATGGACAACTTATTCTATTTGTGTTGAGCCATACTCGCGCAATTCGTAGTTATGACGTTTTGAAGAATAAGAAATTACTTTCCGGGAGTTTGGACGTGGTTTCCACTCAGAAAAGCAGCGTCAAAGATATCGAGCTGGATCCTCTTCGTAGATATTTTGTGACATATGATGACAACAGTTCGTTTGTCGTATGGAATATGCGTGGTAGTGTTCTGACGAGAGTAGATACTCATCAAGTAAGCTTTCAAGTATCTCTTTGAAGGAGAATGAACAATGTTAGGTTCGAAACAACCAAATGGCTATATCGCCTGATGGTCGCTTTATTGCATCTGCAGGTTTTATTGGTGATGTTTATCTTTGGGAAATCTTGTTTCAAAAGGATAGTAATGAATTCATAGAGCTGAGAAAGGTCATTGACTTGAAAGGTCATCGAGCGGGTGTTAAGGGACTTGCTTTTTCTCATGATAGAAAGAAGGTCGCGACTGTTTGTAAAGACAGAACCATCCGTATTTGGAACATCGATGTTAAATACAAACTTGAGGAAGATGCCAAGCTTTTATTTTCACTGGAACCTTGGGATACCCAAGTTGATTTATTACAAGTAGCCTTTAGCCCAGATGACAATCTTTTGGCCGTAGTCGGAAATGACTCTGTGGCTTTCTATTTATTAGAGACTAGGAAACTGATAACGATTCTCAGAGGTTGTACGGGACAGGTAGGAATCGATATCAAAAAGTTTAGTTTTAGTGGAGACGGAACTCTTCTAGCCACTATCGGTCAAGGGCAATCATTTATCAGTCTATGGAACGTTCCAGTTATGCCGAGCTTTTCGAATGTGTAGCTTAAAATATTCTCAATCTTCTATATCACTCTTGTCAGTAAGAAGGCGGTCAACAAAGGAGTAACTGGTGAAACTGAACATTTCTATAACAATTGTGTTTTAAAAATATCGTTTCCAAAGTTGATCAAGGGTTGATTTCCAGCGCACTGCTTTTTTTTCTAGTTCTTGCACGGAGGCAAGAGAGTTCCAATATAAACCAAAACCGAATCCGACACCGAAACCTATCCCACAACCAATACCAGTACCCATAGAAATGGTAAACCGAGACACTTTGGCCAAGGCTGAGAAGGCTATGTGAAGATAATTGCACGTCGACAGAACATAAACTTACGGAAACCGAAACCGAAACCGAACCCAATTCCATAACCAGAACCACAACCACAAAAAAATCCAGCTCCGAGACCAGCTTGTTTTTCGTCGAGCGGTTTCATATAGCGAATCAATATTTGGATAGTTTCATCATTAGCAATCGAATGCTTTTAGTCAGACAAAGCTTGCTACAGCGATGGAGTTGTATAGGTTTTTCTAGTGCTACTTATACTCTAATATACAAAAAGAGTTGTAGAAATGTATTGTTGAAACATCATTGTTGGAAGTGTCCTGCTGTACATTCATCTATTGCATTTCGAAAGAATAGAGTTCGTATGAGTAAAGGACGTGGAACGGGTACTTCTAGACAATGGAAGCGTAGTCTTGAGGCAATAAGTAAATTCTCACGTCCTCACACTGTTCGTGGAACTTTATTAGCAGCTATATCTGGTTGTCTTCGAGCTATTCTAGAAGGTGGTTTTTTCGTTTCTAAAAGTTTATTGTTTCGAGCCTTGTTAGGAGTGATTGCCTTGATATTGGGAAACATATTTATCGTGGGAATCAATCAAATCTATGATATTGACGTCGACAAGGTGAATAAACCTTTTCTTCCTCTAGCTGCTAGAGAAATGGAGCTATCTCTTGCGTGGTTAGTCGTTGTGATTAGTGGAATATGTGGCGTCGCTATAACTAGGGTTTGTTTTTCTCGCTTGATATTTTATTTGTATATATCTGGTTTGAGTTTTGGTGCGCTTTATTCTTTGCCTCCTTTTCGTTTGAGACGATGGCCTTGGATGGCAGCAATAACGATTTCATTTGTACGCGGCTTTTTGTTGAACTTTGGAGTATACCATGCCACTAAAGCAGCTCTTGGGTTGCGTTTTCAATGGAATCCTATTATCGTATTTACTGCTTGTTTCATGACAATATATGCATGTGTCATAGCTTTAGCAAAGGACTTGCCCGATGTACAAGGAGATAAGCAATATCGAGTGGAAACCTTTGCAGCCAAAATGGGAGTGGAGAAAGTGGTGAAAATGGTCACCATGTTGTTACTTTCGAACTATATTTTTGCAATTGTTGTTGGATTAGTAGCTCCTTATGGAACATTTAGTCGCAAAACAATGTTACTGACACATAGCTGTTTGGCACTGTTATGGATAAGAGAAAGCAAACGATTACAACCAAACAACAAACAAAGTTTGATAGCATTCTATCGTTCTATCTGGAATTTATTTTATGCGGAATATTGTATCCTTCCATTTCTTTAAGCTGTTGCTTCTATGACGTTGGATGGTATCGAATAAACCCTAATAGCTTATCGTACGCATGAATATAACACAACCCTAAATGAAACAAGCAATGCAACGTTCGTTGGCTCTCCTATTTCTTTGCTTCGACTGTTTGTTCCTTCTTCTCGTGAAAAATTTTCTTCAACGCCAGTGTCAAGAAGCAAAGACAAATAACAAAATAATATGCTTAAACAGTGCATTCAAGAGTTAACAGAAAACTTATATCTATACCGTCCAATTGTCAACAAGTAACGGACGATATAGTTTCTGAAACTTACCTACACTTGGGACAAGTATAGAAAATGGTTTGACCTTCGTCAGCCGATCGAAGTTGAGCTGTACGAAACAGTAGAGTGTCATGACCACACTGAGGACAAGTTTCTTTCACCTAACGTGCCAAGATGAACAACGAAACAGAAGAAATGTAGTTTCTTCTCACCGTAGCCTGATTATTTTCAGAAGCAGTGACAGTTTGGTTTTCTTCCTCTTTCATCGCAGAGAGTGTTCGTAAAAACTCGGAAGGCTTCAAGGGTCGAAATTGTCTTTCGCCACCCTTTGAATAACTCTCTTTCATCCACGAAGAACAAATGAGAATACGATAAGACCAAGAATAAAACGCTTACCTGATGTTTTCTTACAGACTCTACAAAAGCCAACCTTTCCGTCATTGGAGACTAATAATAAGCCGCCACAGTAGTTACAAAAAGAGTTTCTCTGGTTCTCGTGATAAGATTCGTTCATCCAAAATGAAATCGAGTGTTTCCTTTGTCTTCGATTGGAACGCTCCTTATGGTCGTTGTGAAGTTGGAAAAGGCAAAGCTGGTGTGTCATTGGACGTGGAACACTAAAGATGAGACTTGTGGAATATGCCAGATGCCTTTTGATGGTTGCTGTCCTGATTGTAAGATACCGGGAGATGACTGCCCTATAGGTATGAGAAGTAGAAACTTGTGACACATATGTGAAAGACTAAGAATAGTTGTTTCCGATAGTATGGGGACCTTGTGAACATAGCTTCCACTTACACTGCATTTTGAAATGGTTGAATAGTAGACAGCACTGTCCACTTTGTAGAAGAGAATGGCACTTTAACTGAACTGTCAAGTTGCAGTTACACCACTTCTTTCAAAATTGTGGTTTCGCGGGGTTGCAGTATATCTACTAACTAGTGCTAGAAAAGTAAGAGGTGTTATCAAATACATAGAACAAGTATAAAGTTTTGCTATATTTTCAGGGTGTTGAATACCTCCCACTCATTCCGAGTCAAGCACCCGACAACAAAAGAGGCCCAAAGTCTCCAAATTTTATAAAGCGTCTTTCGAGTCTTTTGTAACTATTGCTGCTAATGATTGGTATTTCGTTGATATGTTTGTCCGTCACAAAGCTATACAACTGAACTTTCCCGCGTTCTCTTCAGAATTGAAACTTTGATAGCGCAATGTTTCAAAAACCGTCTATTCACGAATACGAAGTTTTGAAAAATCTACGTCTCTTGAACCGCTCTGTGGTCTATTTTGTGAAGACCGTTTGCTCTCTGGTTTGTGATCTTTCGCTTGACTGTCTTCCGAACGTAGTTGTCGGTTGGCAGAAACGGAAGCAATAACGTGACTTCCACTGCGAGCGTTTGAAAAATCAACATTGGCATTCCTCTCTGAAGTATCGCGGACTGATTGTGCAATGGGTTGAGCCATTTTTCGAACATTACCAAAGTCGACTTCTCTATTCTTCTTGGGCTGAAAGGAATCCGTTACAGATTCAATAACACTAGCACCACTACGAACAGAACTAAAGTCAACTTCTCTTTCACTAGAGTTACTATCTCTCTGAACTTGTGAAATGGGTTCTTTCTTTCGAAGGTTGGAAAAATCTTTCTCTTGTTTAGAGTCGTCATCGGTCACTTCTCGGCGACGAAGTGCAAAGTCTCGGTCGACAACACGTTCACCCTTCTTATCTAATTGTCTTGGTTTTGCTTCTACTGCATCTTCTCCTATTACTTGTGAACCTTGTCTGGCAGATGAAAAGTCCACGTCTCTATTTGTTGGAGCTCTTCTTCTAAGGTCAGCTTCCTTTTCTACTGGTTTTCCTTGACGAGCTTGTGACCAATCCAGGTCTCTAAAGCCATTTGCTTCCTTTCTTTCCGTTGGTTTTCTTCTTCCATCTCCACTTTCATCTTCCTTTCTAAAACCACGTCCACCTTCTCTTCGTACTTTGCTAAAGTCTCTTTGATTCTCGGAATTGTCCCTAAACACAAAAAAGTCACAAGGCGCACGTTCAACAAAGTTGCAACACTACTACCCTTTAGGTGCGGTAGGTAAAGACTGAAGTTCTAGTGGTTTAAGTGGGTCGAGTCCCATGGAGGCGTTGAACTCTGCTAAGGAGACTACTTTCTTTTCTTTTTGCTTCTTTCCTTTACCCATTATTTGGTCTACGAGAAGATTCCGGCGCAAGTTCCAAAATAAATTCAACAATGGGCAAAAAGAAATATTTTATATCCGATCCGCTATTTATTTCCATTTCTATTGAGATATAAAATTTCATAAAGTATTGAGTTTTTCTTCATTGCTATAGTTGCTTTGGGGATCGTTGAAGATTCACGTCGTTTTCTATTGTCCATTGATTGCTTTGGAAAACAGCTCCATCTTTGTGATAACAAGGGTTGTTCTCCTTTTATTTTACAATGGTTTGGCAATATGAGTTTTTTGTAGAAGCAGCTTTCTAAAGTTTTCTTATAGGGTATTCCCAAGTTTTATCGTTGGCTTTCCGAAAGGTTTCCGGTGATCAACCAAGAGTTGGAAACAGAGTACGAGTTTGATAACTTTTATTTGGATATGAACGGAATCATTCATCTTTGTACGCACAATAATAATAGCCTCCAGTTGGTGTGGAATAATGTGGAGGAAATGTTTGACAGTATTTTTGAATATACCGACAGGTAGTGTTATTTGCAAAAACGAGAACAACTTTCTGATAGTCGTATTATTATTATTATGATTATTATTATGATGGGAAAGACTATATAGAATTGTAAAACCAAAAAAGTTGTTATTTCTGGCAGTTGATGGAGTAGCCCCACGCGCCAAGATGAATCAGCAACGTAGTCGTCGTTTCCGAAGTGCCAAAGATGCAGAAAAAGCCCTAGCAGAGGTTAGTTATTTTGGTTTTTGGTTATCAAAACAGCTGAAAAGGACCAACAAAAGGCTATCGAAAGAGGTGAAGAAATAAAGAGCTCTAGTCGCTTTGATTCCAATTGTATCACACCTGGAACGGAGTTTATGCACGTGTTGAGTCAACGATTTAAAGATTGGATTTCTTTTATGACAACTCATGATCCTGCTTGGCAACAAGGATGTGATATTATATTTTCAGGTCCTGATGTTCCTGGTGAAGGAGAACACAAAATCATGGACTTTATTCGTACTCATACAGAGGATAAAGAATGGACTGAGAGAAAACATTGTTTATATGGCTTAGATGCCGATCTGATTATGTTAGGATTAGTGACTCATTTTCCTCATTTCTCATTGCTTCGTGAAAAGTATGTTATTCAAAAGAAGGATGGAGAAGCCAATAAGCCAAAATTCTTTTTTGAAGAGTTTCATTTTCTACAATTGGCTCTTTTAAGAGATATGTTGTACCTGGAATTCAAACCTTTTGGAGATACTGAGTTGTCTTTTGCCTATGATTTGGAAAGAGTGGTGGATGACTTTGTGTTTATGTGTATCTTTGTAGGAAATGATTTTTTACCCAATTTGCCTCATTTAGATATCAATACGGGAGCATTGAATGTGATGTTTGCAGTATACAAGTCATTACTTCCACAAATGGGTGGTTACTTGACTGAGAGACACCGAATTCATCCTAAAAGAACGGAATGGTTTCTTCAACAAGTTGCAAAAGCAGAAAGAGCCTACTTTCAGTATCGAGCTGTAGAAGAAAATGAACCAGGCTTTTTAGGAGATGAATACAAAAGTTATTATTATCAGAGCAAGTTGGGTATCCGAATGGAAGAGGAGCCACATAAAGTACGAGAACTTTGTCAAAAGTATTATGAAGGTCTTCATTTTATTCTTCAATATTATTATCAAGGATGTCCCAGTTGGAAGTGGTTTTATCCGAGTTTTTATGCTCCTTTGGCCTCCGATATGGTTCAGTTGGAAGAAATAAGAGTAGAGTTTGAACAAGGACATCCATTTCGTCCACTTACTCAGTTATTGGCAGTTCTTCCACCAGAAAGTTCTTCCTTTCTTCCAGAACCACTTCGTAATTTAATGATAAGCGACTTGTCTCCTTTGAATGAATACTATCCTCCTGACTTTGAAGTGGACTTGAATGGAAAGAGAAATTCATGGGAAGCTATTGTGTTGATTCCATTTATAGATGAAAATCGTCTATTGAATGCTCTAGCAACCGTTGATACTCGTACTGAATTGACGGATGAGGAAAGATGTAGAAATGAAGAAGGAAAGAATTATATTTGGCATACTCAAACCAAATCCAAAAAGTATCGTTCAAATAGACTCCATAGAATGAAAAGAGCAACAAGTTGGAGGAGTCATGATACTAGACCTGTAGAATAGTTGTTATTTCAGAGAGAATTTGAAATGCAACTATGGAAGATATAGGCAAAGGGCTGTATAGTATATAGGGTTTACCATTTGTGGAATTTTCATAAAATGTTTGTTGGACGCAATTATCCTAAATGGATTGATTAGGAATTGTGGGATTCTCACATGGCAGGACGTTATTATGTAGAACAAGAGGTCACGAAACTATTTAGAATACGGAAAACCATATTAGAAATGTTAAGAGATAGAGGTTATGTGGTATTGGAAACGGTAGCAATCTTCTCATTTTGGTCGTGAATCATCGACACTGACTCGTTTGTAGAGTTCGGACCTAGAAATGACTCGTGAAGAGTTCGGTTCAAGACTTCAACAGGCCAACTATTCCAGAGAGTCTTTAACTTTACTTAAACAACACCAACACGATCCATCTGACCAAATATATGTGTTTTTTCCTGCTGAAGAACGTGTAAGTGTAAAGACCCTTCGAGAGTAAGTTCAAGTTGGCACCATACAAACACACTTTGTTGTGACTCTTATGTAGTTACTTTGTTCGTATGGACCAAGAAAGAGTGTACAAAGCTATTCTGGTTGTTATCAAGAGTTTATCTCCTTTTGCAAAACAAGGTATTCAAAAGGTAGCTAGTCAGTTTAAAGTCGAAGTATTCTTAGAAATGGAGTTGTTGGTAAATATTACCCATCACGAATTAGTTCCAAAGCATGAGGTGTTATCAACGGAAGGGAAAAAACAGCTTTTAAAGCGATATCATTTGAAGGAATCTCAGTTGCCTCGTATTCTTATGACAGATCCCGTTGCGCGTTATTTGGGTTGGCATAGTTTGTGTTTTTCAGACGAAATTGATTTCCTTATTGTTTTTATTAGGTTTGCAAAAGGGACAAGTGGTCAAGATTACGAGACCTAGTGAGACTGCCGGTCGTTATGTTACTTATCGGTTGGTGGTTTAACATGATTATGATAAGTCCATACAATAAGTCGATCTTCATAGACAGGAGAGTGTCGGAATATGTATGAATAAACTGCAACAATTTTTTTTTCAATAGACAACTAGTCTCAACAAGAACTTGTGTGGATTTTCATCTTGGTGGAATGCACATTTGTCAAAATGAGCTCGCAGTCGATAGAAAGCTGGATATCCGAACATCTGTATCAACTGATTGGTTTTAGTGATCAAGCAACAGCACAATTTATTGAAGCACTTGCGAGAAAGGCTAGTAATCCAACTATATTGTATCGGGAGGTTACGCAGTATGGATTTCCCCAAGGAAAAGAGGTGGAGAACTTCGCAACTAGTCTTTTCAACCGAGTCAACCCAAATAGAAGTGTTTCATCTGCCAACAGCACTGTAAAGCCTCGTGAAAAAGCTCCCAAATATGAGTTACTTCTTTCGAGTGACGAGGAAGAAAGTCTTGTTAACAGGAAGACCGCCTTAGCAAGTGCAGAACATAACTTGAAAAGAGCAAAGAGAAGGAAAAGAAGCCCTATAGTAAGTGAAGAGGAAGATGAACAAGAAATAAAGGCCTTGGAATCCCGTTTAGCAACCAGGGCAGAAGGAACTTGTAAGAAGGGTGAAGAAAAGAATGGTGAAGGTAGAGACCAAAATGTGGAAAAGGAACTGGAACGTCAACAAGATATGAGTGAGAGAGATGCGTTTGCCAAGAGACTCATGGAACGTGACTCCAAACGTAAAAGTGACTCGAAGGAAGAACAAGTCTCTGAAGATGTTACCCGCAACGAAGAAATGATCAACTTGTTAAGAGAATTGTCTAGGCAAGAATATTTGAAGAAGAGAGAACGACGAAAGTTGCGAGAATTGGAAGCTGAATTGAGAGATGAAATAGAGTTATTTGGAGAAGAGCAGCTGACCGAGAAGGAAAGAAAAGATTGGGAACTCAAGAAGCAACTTTATGAAATTGCCTCCAAAAGAGTAAAAGAAATGGATCAGGAAGAAAGTCATTACAAGATGCCTGATCCTTTTATGGATGAAATGGAACAAAGAGGAGATATGCAGAAGAAGTTGGACGTTTTGACCCAGCGATTTAAGGAAGCACCCAAGAAAGAGTTTAAAACTGACCAAGAGGAATGGGAAGAACAACAAATCAGTTTGGCTCTTTCAACTAGAAATTCTTCTGATTCAGGCAAAGTCGATAATTTAACTGGAAAGACTGCCTATGAGTTGGTATTGGACGATTCCATCGATTTCATTTCAGAAGATATTCTTTCTGGTCAAGGAACTGTAGAAACGAAATCCAGTTTATCGAAACCGAAAGATATTCGCAAGGAATGTGAGAGTCTTCCAATATATCCATTTAGAGATGAACTATTACAAGCTATAGAAGCCTACAAAGTTTTGGTAGTAGTTGGAGAAACCGGTTCTGGTAAGACTACGCAACTTCCTCAATATTTACATGATGCAGGTTATACGAAGAGAGGAAAGATTGGTTGTACTCAACCTAGACGAGTAGCTGCAATGAGTGTAGCGGATAGAGTAAGCAAGGAGATGAAAGTCAAGTTAGGTTCAGAGGTTGGCTATTCTATTCGCTTTGAAGATTGTACTTGTGAGAAGACAGTTATTAAGTACATGACGGATGGAATGCTTCTAAGAGAGTTTCTAAACGAGCCAGATCTTGCTAGTTATTCCGTCATTATCATCGATGAAGCTCACGAACGTTCATTACATACGGATATATTAATGGCACTTGTAAAGGTAATAGAAGAATGTTGTTTGTAATATTCCTATTGATATTCTTGTTTTAGGATTTAGCTCGAGAAAGAGAAGACATAAAAGTGATTATTAGTTCAGCTACATTGAATGCTGAGAAGTTTTCAGTTTATTTTGATGATGCTCCAGTTTTTAATATTCCTGGAAGACGCTTTCCTGTAGACCTTTATTACACGAAAGCTCCAGAAGCAGATTATGTCGATGCAGCGTGTATAACTGTTTTACAAATACATGCAACTCAACCCGCAGGAGATATTTTGGTTTTCCTTACTGGACAGGATGAAATAGAATCAGCTGTCGAAATGCTAAACGAAAGAACGAGAGGTTTGGGATCTCGTCTTGGAGAGTTGATCATTTGTCCCATTTATTCAACTTTACCTTCAGAACAGCAAGCAAAGATATTTGATCCAACTCCTCCTGGTGCAAGAAAAGTTGTTTTGGCAACGAATATTGCAGAAACGAGTGTAACTATTGATGGTGTAGTTTATGTGATTGATCCTGGATTTTGCAAACAAAAGCGATATGATCCTCGAGCAGGTTTGATAACTGATTTGTTTTTCTTGAAAAGTTGTTGAAGCATTATTGTGTATATTAGGTATTGAATCCCTATTGGTAGTTCCAATATCTCGTGCATCTGCTATACAAAGAGCTGGTCGTGCAGGTAGGACACAACCTGGAAAGTGCTTCCGACTTTATACAAAGTGGAGTTATTATAATGAAATGAGCGATGAAACTTCACCAGAAATATTGCGTACCAACCTAAGTCAAGTCGTCTTATCACTCAAGTCTTTGGGTATCGATGATCTTATTCACTTTGATTTTTTGGATAAGCCTCCTACCGATGCTCTAATACGTTCATTGGAACAATTATATGCTTTGGGAGCTCTAAATGATCGTGGAGAGCTCACCAAACTAGGTCGTCGAATGGCTGAACTTCCTCTGGATCCTCCCATGTCCAAGTGTTTGATTGCTTCAGAGAAGTATGGCTGTTCAGAGGAAATTATTACTATATGTGCAATGTTATCGGTAAACAATTCCATATTCTATCGCCCAAAGGACAAGGCAGTCATGGCAGATTCTGCAAAGGCGGCATTTCATAGAGCCTATGGTGGAGTGGGTGATCATTTAGGCTTATTAGCTTGTTATTGTCAGTGGATGGACACTGGCTATTCTACTCAATGGTGTTATGAAAACTTTGTTCAGGTAAGAAGTATGAAAAAGGCAAGAGATATTCGAGATCAATTGGATGCTATGTTGGAAAGAGTAAGAAGATGTTTTTAGGCGGAAGTGAGATGGATATCTCAAATCATTTCGTAGGTTGAAGTCTCAAAGTGTTCCACCAATGATCATGAAAAAATTCGCAAGGCTCTTGTAGCTGGTTTCTTTTATCATGTTGCTTGTCTTCAGAAGAACGGTTCCTATCGCACAATTAAGAATCCAATATCCGTTCATATTCACCCAAGTAGTTCACTTTTCAAGTCAGAGAAACTTCCTCGTTGGATTTTATATCATGAGTTGGTATTTACTTCGGATTATTTTGTTCGTCAGGTAATAAGGAATGTTTTGGTTTTCTATGTATGGAAACTGAAGTTGTGAGTAGGTGACGGAGATTGACTCTTCTTGGCTATTAGAAGTAGCCCCGCATTATTATCGAGAGAAGGAAGTAGAAGATACTAGTAAAAAGAAAATGCCTCGTGCTATGGGAGCCAAAGCAAAATAGATGGCTATATACAACATGAGCTTCTTATATAACAAATATTTCTTTTCATTTGTAATGATACTTGCTATTTCATAATGATAAGCATATTTTGATAAAAGCTTTCAACACAAATGGTCAAAGGAAAGGAACAAAAAAAGGATTGCTACTTTTGGAATGTAGAAACTTGTATTATCGTTGTATCTTTCCAAGTACTCGTATGGCAGATATAAATCCTCCAAAAGGAAGAGATTCAGAGAATCTTATTCGTTGCCAAGTATTTCTATCAAAAGTGAGAATGGGCACAAGTTTGCCAAAGATTCGAAGCAACATACCGAAAGGGTAATAATAGGCAGTGCATATGTAGATAAGGTATCGATCGAAATGGCTTGATGTGAAAACCCATCCTATACTGATGTGGAAGAAGACCTAATAGACACAAGTTATCTCAAACAACCCTTCCGCAGTTGAACGACCAACTTGTTGTATTTAAGATACGATGTCCTACTTGAATCATATGATCCACTTTCTAGTCTATTTCATAAAAAATATGTATGAAAAAAGAACACAACTTACGCAAAGCAATATGTGCTCTAGAAAGTTCTTCTACACCCTTTATCTTCACTTTAGGCACTACCAAGTAATGCCTAAACAAGTTAGTCACTACTCCTGTGAGATATGAACATACCTAGCTGCTTGTGGACTTGTATCCTTGAATGCAACGACTTGTGAATCCTAAAAAGTGTCACTTGCTATAATTCAAATAGAGAAGAAACTAACTTCATAAAGAATATCTTCGGGACAAGGTGAAAAATAATCCTTCCAATGCTCCAACATACTACACTAAGAACTAAACTATTATTTCAGAGTCAAGAAATAGTTTGTGAAAACTTGGGGTTCTTTCAATTCACAAAGAATTTTTGGGTTTCTCAAATGCGACGTAAACGATCCAAAAGGCAATCATCAACGGAAGTGGATAGGACAAGTTGCAATCTTAAAGTACACCCAAAATATATAGCACAACGTTTTCGGTTGTTCAGCAAATTTGAACAAGGAATATCGCTATCTGACTCGGAAAGTTGGTACTCTGTGTTACCAGAGAAAATTGCCTCCCACGTGGCTTCACGTTGTAGTTGTGATGTTATTGTGGATCCTTTCGCTGGTGCAGGTGGTTCTTGTATACAATTTGCAACTACTTGTACATATGTCATTGCCATAGAAAACGTGAGTTCTCGATTGATGGACGCTAAACACAACGCGGAAATCTATCAAGTCTCCAATAATATTGATTTCATACTTGGTGATGCCTTTCAAATATTTCCAAGTTTCATAGGAAAAGTAGATGTCATATTTATTGCTCCACCTTGGGGTGGTCCTAACTATGAAAACGGTGACTTTTTTAACTTTGGCCGATTCCAATATCGACTGAGCGAAATCGTGGATTCGTTTCTTCAAGTAACTGAAAATTTGGCCATCTCTTTGCCACGTTCGAGTTCACCTCGTCAAATAGCAAGCGCTATTCCTGAAGGTCGATTATTCGAAGTCGAATATAATTATCTCAACGATAAATGCAAAACAATTACTGTATATTTAGGAAGCCTTGTAAAGTCACTCGTTTCCTCAATGATTCCACAGCAGTCTCATTCTAGTGAAGATAGAGAGATGGATAATGGGCAACGGTATCAACCATAAGATGTGAATGTTCTATGTAGTTGATTATACTTGTTCTTGATAGATATCTATATCTTAAGAAACCGATGCAATATATATATTTCGATTATTCGATTGGCATGGCTGGACACATCAAAGAACCATACTTGTGTAAGCGGTCCTTGCTTTTCATCCTATCTCACCCCATTTTTAGTCAAAGCAACCGAATACAATCCGTGATTCTTTTATGAACCTTATACTAGTAGTCTCAGTGTTTTTGAAGAATATGGATGAGATGGCATTGATTTCCTTTTGTGGAAATTTTGATTTTCGTTGTTGTTTGGCGAAAACTACGGAGAGACGCAAATGGCGCCAAACGTACAACTTAGGTCTTCTGCATCAGAAAGTAACGAATGTTTGAGAAACGAAGATAACGACCCATTTCTATTAGATTGGAGTCCTTGCTCTCTCGAGGAACACTTGAAAAAGGCCAATTGTAAGCGAAATCCAAGCTGTGTATTTGGTCTCGGAGAAAACTCTCCAGAAGGAGTTTTGCAAGTTGAAAAAATGGCAAAAAAGTTACATGAAACCGCTATTCAAGGTAGAAAGAATGAAGAAATACCCTTTGCGGGTCTACGAAATTTAGGCGCGACTTGCTATGCAAACGTAGTTTTGCAGTTTTTGTTCTTTCTTCGTCCGTTCAGGGAAGCTATTTTAAACATAGATACTGATTTATCACAGTACAAAAACTCTGGAGATTACGAGCACTGTACTCACAGCTCACAGAACCAAACCAATCAGTTGGAAAAGTCAATAATGGAACTTCAGCTACTATTTGCCACGCTTCTCAAGGGCCACGGTAGTTGTGTATCACCCAAAAAGTTTCTAGAGGCATTGGACTTGACTACTTTTGTGGAGCAAGATATCCAAGAGTTTGTTAACTTGTTACTCTCGTTGGTGGAGAAGTATCTTCATAACTCTCCTACGAAAACATATGAAACTCTTATCTCTGACGTTTTTCAAGGTAGCAGAAGATTTGTGACTACGTGTCACTCCTGTGGGCAAGTCTCCGAAGCTTCAAAAACTGATTCCAGTTTTACAGAATTACAAGTTTCGGCGTATCATCCTGGTTCGATTGAAGACGCATTGTCAAATATGGTTATGGAGGAGCTTTTAACTGGTGATAATCAATATCTATGTGAGTTTTGCAATGGAAAAAGAGATGCCTCTCGCAAAATGGTTTTTGATAAACTCCCTCCCGTTCTAATGTTGCAACTACTAAGGACCACTTTTGACTTAACCAGCGGTGAGAAGAGAAAGACACATGCTAAAGTTTCTTTTCCATTGGAAATGGATGTTCATGAACTACTTAACATGGACACTAATGAAGTGAAAACTTATCGATTAAAGGCTATATGTTTTCATCGTGGTTCAAGTGCATACTGCGGACACTACACAGTGCAGCTTTTTGATGATTCGAGCAACAAATGGTTTGAGTTTGATGACGCCCAAGTGAAATGCTGTGTATCAAATTCATCTGCATGGAAGTCCGATAGCCCTTCTGGAAATGGTCTTGACAGTGTATCAAATGAAAGAAGGAAACGTGCAAAGTTACGACTCTTTGATAAGAGCGCTAATGGCACCACAAATCGCCGCCCGACGTTATCTTCAACCAGTGCCTGTTTGCTTGTCTATGTTTTGAGTGATAATATGTATCGCTTTGGTGACTTGGAAGAGAGTCGTTTACCAGATCTGCTGCAAGACATTATCAATTTGGAAAACTCAGAACTGGATATTGCGTTTGAAGTGGAGAAAGCTTCGGTTGATTCTAAAGTTTCCGAAATGGAAAGACAAAAGTCTGAATACCTAAGCTTATTGCCAAAGCTTTCCGCACGGACTTGTATAGAAACTTCAGATTTGGTTTCATATGGTTATATTCCAACCAGTTGGTTAAGGGAATGGGTCAAAGTGAGAGATGGAAGTATGATGCCGATAGATTGCTCACCTTATATATGTGAACACGGTGGTTTGAATCCTCAAAGTATCATCCATGTGAAAAGAGTAGCGCAAGAAGCTTTTGATTGGTTGATCGAAAAGTACGGAGCCAATTCTTTGCTGTTAAGAGGTCCACAATGCCACTGTATGGTATGTGTAGATAACCTGAAGGATCACGTTGCGAATGCTGAGTTTTGGAAGCAAAGAAATGATGAGTTTACTTCCTATTTGATGAATCCGAAAGACAATATTAATGTTATTTCTGAGAAGAAAGATTTGAGTCCCAACTGTCCAGTTTCTTATATTGAAAAAAATTTCTTCAAACGATGGAAAAAGCTGTCATTATCTTGCAAACATGGAGTGGATTTTGTACGCAAACTTACAAAGTTGGTAAAGGAATTTTCGCTTTCAAGATATTGTGTACATGAGAAACTTATTGTGGAAGACTGGAAAGAAATAAGTTGCTCATTGGGAAAGCATCTATATGACCTCTTACAATTTTTATCACGTGACACAGAAGTACGTTTTGACTACTTTATAGTTTTTCAAAATGATTCGCATGCAACCTTTTGTGATGAGTGTCACGAGAAATCTACCGAAATGAAGGAAGAAATTTCGTCTATTCGCCAATTGAAAAGGCTTGAAAAAGCTTCCCTAGGGGAATTGATGAAACCAAAATATTCTCTTCAAGTTGTACGGTTCCTTGTGCAGCAAATGAAATACAGACAAACTGAAGGTCGTACCAGTGCGTCGAATGAGGAGTCAAGGTATCTTATTTCTTCCAGTTGGTTTGAGAAATGGTCGGACTATTTACTTAATAATGGAAAGAGACCGGAGATATCTCCGTTAGAAGGTCTAATATGTGAACACAATCTATTGTTGTATGATCTTTCGACAGCGGACGATTTATTTGACCGGCGAGTACTATGCGTTTCAGCTTCTTGCGGGGAAGAGATTGTAAAAGCATATATAGACGGCTATTTTGATGTGAATGGAGTGAAGTTAGAACTGAAAGAAGAAATGGATGGTTGCTGTAAGGGAGTATTTTCGATACCGAACTGTTACGACTGCATGAAGAAGAGGAAGGATCCGGAGAATAAGGATGAGATTGAGTTGGTTTTGATCAAAGTGAACGAAATGGAACAAGTTCAGGATAAGAGGTATTTAAGTTTGGACAGTTTAGAGTTGTATTCTACTTGTATAAAGAGTGAAATGATGACAACTAGGCGTTCTCGGGTGCTTAGAGTTCAATGCAATCGCAGCAACTCTATTTCAGAGCTGAAGTTGATCATTTTTCAGTATCTGGATATAGCTCCTGTAGCACAAGAACTGTATTTGGGAAAGGGAATGTCCTTGGTTCATGCATCTTCTTCACTTAAAGACTATAACATATCTGATGGCTCTTTATTGTTTCTTTATATTGATAAGAGTAAGATTGATAATGGTTCGGAGGATTTTTGTGCGTTGCCAGAGGATTCAAAAGTGGAATTGGGGTTTATGGGTAGCCAACTGTTCGGACTTTAACTAATATCTCTTTTATTTTGGAAACCTTTTTATATATTCAAGGAATTGTTGAGAGTAGTTTGAAATCATGTTCAATAGAAACAGGTCAGCTACTGAGATGAGGCTTGAAGAGGAAGAATGAATATTCTTAACAAATTCTGGAGTTTTTAACACACCACTACAAAAAGTTTCGTGACGTTGACCTTTTGTTATTCATTTTGAAAGATAAATGGAAGATACTATATTGATTTTGAAATATTCTACATGAACGATGTTATTAACAACTGGAATGGCACTTTTGATCACTCTCCACAATATAGGTCATGCAACTATTGTGGTTTATAAGAAAAGTGCAAAAGGAAAAATGGAAGTTTGCAGGAAGCTTCTCTGAATATATCGAATGAATAGAAGCTAGTTCTACTTATCCAACATAGCCAAATTATCCTATCGTTCCGAATCCTTTCAGTTCTAGATACAAGTTGAGCTGTTGAATATCCAATATAAAGTCACCCGTTCCAAAAGACACTGCGCCAGTACTCGTTGCTTCACATGTGGCTTCTGGAAATTGCAACCAAGCAAACACATCAAGTTTTGTTCTGTAATCAAGTGGAATCTAAATTTGTGTCAGTTTCCACTGTGGTTATTTTCATATGTCTCTCACTTTTCTACGAAGCGCCATTCCAGGAGGGTGAGTATTGGTTTGAATGCCCTACATGAGATCCAATTCAGTCTAATCACATTTGACTCGATCTACATACACGATAAGGACTGAACCGAAACCCAAATAAAGTTTGTCCAATCTTCCAGTCATAGGATATGTGGATGTTGAAAGTATTCTTTTGGTCAACAAGGAACTCTTTCACCAAAGACACTTGGTTATCCTTTACCGCAAGTCTACCCCCAATAATTCGATCTTTCCAAGCCGTATGAAAACTGAGAAACAATTGACCCAATCAAGTCAACACAATAAGTCAAGTCTTACGTCCAAAAGCCGTGTTGAAGATCCAAGTCGGCCCCGAGTGTCAATTTCGTTAAAGCCAACGGATAAAAGTGCTTTCGAAGTTTCAATTTTGTAGATGGATTACATTTCCAAACAAGTTTCTATCCGATACAATGATCAAGTAATAGTCAAACTTGAAGGTTTCAAGTGCTTACTGGACTTGAGACCATTCTCAATCCCCTACTTTCTTCACTTTGTTCCGCCATTTCTTGAGAGAATGAATTGAGTTGGTACTTTTTCTAAAATATTTGCGTGTACAAGTTTCTACTCTGATATGTCGTTGATATCTTTTAATAAACGCCATATTGTATCTGTGATGAATAATATTTGGAGACAGTATAGAGGAATATCGTTTTCGGCTTGTGCTTTGGATTCTTTTAGTGACTATACACACTTTGGCTACCGTTCAGTTCCCAAGAATGCCAAGGTATGTACTGTTTCTAGATACTTGAATATTCACTTTTAAATAACGTAGAAAGACTTCCATGGTAGGATCCGTTTTCAGCGACGTTGCCTCCAAATATGACCTTATGAACGATTTGAGTGAGAGGAAGAAAGTCCTATTTTGCTTATTTCTGAAGCTTGAATAGTGTCTTTTGGTCTCCATCGTTTGTGGAAAGATTTGTTTGTCATGTCATTAGCACCGACAGCCGATATGAGAATACTCGTAAGTTGTCGCTTTGACTTTCTAAAGTTGAACTCAACACTCATATAAAAGGATGTCGCAGGAGGAACAGGTGATATAGCCTTCCGCATCGTAGAGAAGAAACGAAAAGAAGAACACTACAATAAGAAGCTATTAGAGCATGGAGTGGAACCCGTTGTCGTAGGTTATTTTCAATGAGAACCAACATTTGGATAACTGTGATAGGTTGTGGATATTAACGAAGACATGTTACAAGTGGGAAAGGAGAGAGCAAAGCTGAGAGGATATAGTGAAAGTGAAGTTATGTTTGTGCATGGAAACGCGGAAAAGCTTCCTGCAGCTAGCGAAACAGTGGTAAGAAGTTGATCAACTTGTTCAATATATCTAAAGTTGAAAGGATGCTTATGTTATTTCTTTTGGAATGCGCAACGTAACAGAACCAGAAGCTGCTTTAGTAGAAGTATAGTTGATTTTTGAAGCAAGTTTTTTCTTTGTTGAATGGTTTCATAGGCATTTCGGGTTTTACGTCCAGGAGGAAAGTTTCACATGTTGGAGTTTGCTAAAGTACAAAACGGCAAGTTGGGAAAGAGGTTAAGATATGGTTTGCGTGTTAACAGTTCGTATCAGATGTGCTTCAATATCTTTACGATATGTATTCCTTTTCAGTAATTCCGTTGATTGGACAAATAGTAGCAAATAATAGGGACGCCTATCAGTATTTGGTAGAAAGTATTCGAAAATTTCCTTCACAAGAGGTACGTAAAGTGGATTGTGTGTCATATGGAAATGAAACATGGGTTAGGAGTTTGCAAAGTTGATGATAAGAGCAGGTTTTCAACAAGTTTCCTATCGACAGTTTCATCAAGGCATAGTAGCTCAGTATTCCGGTTTTAAACTTTGAAGAGTTGCAAAAAAAAGGAGTACAAAGCAGAATGAAGTGAAAGGGAAGAGCAATGCATCCCAAAGTCTTTATTGTTGAGCACTTTGACCAGTCATATTCTTCATAGAGCAATGTGTGCTATTGTTTGTATTTTGTTGTTTTGGATACTATAAAAGATTCCGTATATTTAATATTGTTTTCGATACAGCTATAGTGACACTGCAGATAAGCTGTTTGAAAATCAGGTGTTGTTCAACATCAACTCTTTTTTTCTAACATTCACACAACTATTTTATCAACAGTAGCTTCGAAAAGACTCAATGTCTTAACAGTAGTTTATATAACTAACACAAAAATGAATATTACACAAGTTAATCGAATGTTCATGAAAAAAGGACTCTGAACAAAGCAATACAATTAAGTTTTCCAAAGAAACCTAGCATACCTTTTCAACAGAATTTGGGAACACAACTTGAACAGGAAAGTTCTAGAAGCAATTCCTTTCAGGCCTCTTAGAAATTGGAGAATTTTGTATCATTCCGATGGATTTCTACGCAGAAAGACAAGTCATCGGGTCCCATGTTTTTTAAGAATTGAACAAACCCATTTCATTCTTTTATTGCTCAAAGAATTGAAACCTGCCAAACATGTTGCAATCATTCGTTCGAGCAAAGAAAACCTTTCTTTCGGTTACCCATGCCGGGAATTCTTCGTTGCTTCACAAGTTCTGCCAATCCTTGCATACATCGACACCCTCTCTTGCCAAAGTAGTTGCAGTGTTGTACGAAGCTGGAGCAGCTGCAAAGGAGCCAAGACTATTAGGATGTAAAGAAAATGAACTCGGACTTCGGAAGTTTTTGGAAAGTCGTGGACATAAGTATATAGTGATGTCAGATAAGGAGAAACTTCTAGATCGCGAGCTTCCTGACACAGAAGTATTGATTACTACTCCCTTTCATCCAGCATATGTTACTGCAGATAGAATTGCAATGTCTCCGAAACTAAAGCTTTGTGTTACTGCAGGTGTTGGTTCAGACCACGTGGATCTTCATGCTGCTAACAAGGCTAAGATAACTGTGGCTGAAGTTACGGGTTCTAATGTAGTAAGTGTAGCGGAACATATCGTTATGCAAATACTTGCTCTAGTACGTAACTTTGTACCTGCGTATGGTCAAGTGATCAAGGGAGAATGGAATGTAGGAGATATTGCAAAAGACGCCTTTGACTTGGAAAACAAGGTAGTAGGAACCGTAGGCGCTGGTAGAATTGGTTATCGGGTATTGGAAAGGCTAAAGCCTTTTCATTGTAAAGAATTATTATATTCAGATTATCAGCCTTTGACACCAGAAATGGAAAGAGCTGTTGGAGTAAAACATGTTAGTTTTGAAGAGCTTATTCAGCGTTGTGATGTGATTACTATCAATTGCCCTCTTCATGACAAAACAAGGAATCTGTTCAACAAGGATGTATTTGATAAAGTAAAGACTGGTGTTTACATTGTAAATACTGCTAGAGGAGCCATAGTAGATCGAGATGCCTTGGTTGAAGCAGTAAAGAGTGGCAAAGTTAGAGGCTATGCTGGAGATGTTTGGTATCCTCAACCAGCTCCTAAAGATCATCCATGGCGTTATATGCCAAGACATGCTATGACACCGCATTATTCTGGTACTACTTTGGATGCACAAATGCGTTATGCTGAAGGAACCAAGGTAAGTGGTTGCAGTTTGAAAGATGGAATTGTTCTGAATAGTCATGATTAGGACATATTGGAACGCTATTTTGATGGACGTCCAATCAAGCCTGAAGACTTGATTGTTCAAGATGGCCAATTTGCTAGTAAAGCGTATGTGCAACCCGAAAAATAAGAAGATTACGAAAAGAAAGAATTTTCTTTCTTCTTATTTTGCGTATGGAAGTGTTTCGTTTTCCATGACAAGTTGTAAAAATTTTGTTTCAAATCGGTAAAAATTTTTGTTCTTTCACACAAAAACATTCTAAAATGTATAGAATGGTGTACAAATATCAACAAAGCATATTTATTGAACAGCCATTAAGTTAGTAATGACAGTTCATAATGGAAAGAGAAGACAACAACTAAAGACAACTAGCACCGAAACTGAGGCACTCTATGTTCATGAAATGGTTGTTCACCAGCACAACATGTTTCTATCCTAGAAGTCTTATTCCTAACAAATATCTACCAGCAACTAAAACAACAATAACTCATAAAACATGCAAGGCTACCAGTTGCTGCATATATATATATATATATATATATCATACAATAGAAAAGCCAAAGAGCATCTTCACAAATAACGCTTAAACTCATCATAAATGACCAAAACCAAAGCTCCTCCTGCTCCACGAAGAATATTTGACCAGTTTCCTTTAAAGAATGACCTCCAACCTTCTTCTACAAAAATCTTTTTGGTACAATCCCAAGAACTACGAAATCTTCTTTGCTCAATAGGAAGTCCTGCTTGCATCATCATATGACGGCGAACAGTATCAAAAGGATACGATACAACTTCGGCAGCTGTAGTTACAGTTTGAGCAATAACCCAAGAAAGAAATATATTATGTTCCAGTTTTCCGGTTAGCAAAAATGACTTGGCAGTATCAAAACCTCCAAAATACGCGGCTCGATAAACAATGATTCCTATCAAGGAGACATTAAACCCTCTATATAAACCGAAAACTCCGTCCTATATCATATCAACAAGGTTGTTGTTGAGAATGCTAAACAAAAAATATTTGGCAACTCACAGTTTTTGCTGTTTTTGCGATGCAATCTATAATTCCATTATATAAACGGGTTTCACCTCTTCCAACATCAACTCCCATACGTGTCCTTGCAAAGTCCATCGGATATACGACAAAGAGAGATGTTGCACCTGCAGCTCCACCTGCTGCTAAACTTCCTGCGAAATAACGCCAGAATTGAGTATCTTTGTTCACACCTTCCAGAAAGAGTCCACGATATTTATCCTTGAAGGCGAAATTTAACCCTTGTGTAGGGAAATATCGCAATACATTAGCCATGTTGCCTCTCCAAAAAGATAAAAAGCCTTGTTCTTTTGGAACCCTTCGAATGCAATCTAATATGCCTTTATAATGTTTCTCTTCAGGAATTTGAACGTTAGAGGCTTGAACCTGCAACAACAACTTTACCCTTTCAAGTGGTGCAACAACAGTTTTGGAAATACCACCAGCCGTACCACCAAAAATTAAGTCTTTCACAAAAGACTTAAATTTGGTTTCCGAAGAAGACTGTAAAGTTTGCGATGTTTGCACAGAAGATGTCATCTCCAGTTTCTCGTCGCTTACAATCGAATTTCTTAAACTATTTTTATCGTCGACGTCGGATTGATTCTTTTCTCTCGCCAAGTCGAGTAGCTTATTTTGAATCATTCATATGAAAGTAAGTAAAAACTATTGATAGGGTAGCAAAGCTTATTGTTATAGTTAAATATTGCAAACCCTACCACCGGTTGTCAGAAGCAGATAGAGGTGGACGATGAAAGAAAACTACGAGCCTTTTACGACAAGCGACTAGCTCAGGAAGTTCCAGGAGATGCTCTCGGTGACGAATTCAAAGGCTACATTTTTAAGATCATGGGTGGACAAGATAAGGAGGGCTTTGCCATGAAACAAGGAGTCCTGACAACTGGTCGCGTACGACTGTTGTTGAAGAAAGGAGACTCTGGCTGTCGAGGTTATGGAATGAGAGACGGTGAACGAAGACGAAAGAGTGTTCGTGGTTGCATTGTATCCCCCGATATTGCAGTGTTAAATCTCATCATTTTGCGAAAGGGAGAAGAGGTAAGGATTTCACGAATTCTCCAAAAAGCGCCATTCTTCTTAGTTGCTGAAACATTTTCTCTATAGGACATTCCTGGACTGACGGATACAACTATCCCGAGAAGACTTGGTCCTAAGAGAGCAAGTAAAATTCGAAAGCTTTTTAATCTTTCCAAGGAAGACGACGTTAGAAAATATGTAATCCGAAGGGAGATTACACCAAAGAAGGAAGGAGCAAAGCCTTATTCGAAGGCACCCAAAATCCAACGTTTGGTAACTCCTGTTAGATTGCAAAGAAAGAGAAGACAAAAATTATTGAAACAGAGAGCTTATGAGAAATCTAAGCGTGAGGCTGCAGAATATGCAAAACTTTTGTTACAACGTCGTCAAGAGCAAAAGGAAGCCAAAAAGGCTTCATTGAGCAGTCCTAAGAAATAATCTTTTCTATGCGAGTAATAAAGAAATATTCAAGTAGTTGATACATGGACTTGGTTTAATCGCGGATAATTCCGAATCCTTGACTTTTGCTTTTGACAGACTCATGGTTGGCTATTTCTGGTGGAACTTTTGCTCCAACTTTTTCTAGTTGAAGTTTCAAGTCATAAAAAATTTCTGAATCTGCGGGTGTCACAAAGGAAATAGCCAATCCTTCTCTTCCAGCTCTTCCAGTTCTACCTATTCGATGCGTATAATTCTCTATCCTATTCATTCTCGACAAATATATTTCGGAATCATCAAAAAGTTACACTTACTTGTTTGGCATTTCATAGTTGATTACAAGATTGACCCCTTTGATATCTATTCCTCTTCCTAGGACATCAGTGGCAATCAATATATCATATTTACCCTGTTTGAAACCTTCCAAGTGTTCTTCTCTCAACTCTTGAGGCTTGCCAGAGTGTATAACCGTGGCTCGAATGTCTAAACCACTTTCAGTTTCTATTGCACGAACCAGTGTGTCACAACCTCTCTTCGTGTTGAGAAATACTAAAATAGGTGGATCCGCATATCCAACAACTTCAAAGAAACGTAGCTTTTTCTTCGTTTCATTGGGAACATATTCGACTCTTTGCTGCACCAATTCTGCTCCTTTTCCAATATCTCCGACTGCAACTATGATAGGATTGCGCAAGAATTTTCTTGCCAATCTTTCTACAGCAGGTGGCATGGTTGCTGAAAACATAAAGGTTTGCCGATATAGAATACTTGAAGACTCTTCCATAAACTCTTCACTTAATTCCTCAACTTCCGGTTTCAAATGAGAAGAAGGCATAGCATCCAAAACTCCTTGTACCTGAGGCTCAAAACCCATATCAATCATTCTATCAGCTTCATCCAACACGACATAGTCACACTGGTTGAGAACGCAATATCTTCGTTCAAGGCAATCAATCATTCTTCCGGGAGTAGCTATGACTATTTCAACGCCTTCTCTAAGCTTCATTCCCTGTTCCTCTATGGAAACTCCTCCAACAACCGAACAGACTCGATAACCTAGAGGTTCTGCAAACTTCCGTGTTTCTTCCTCAATTTGTTGCGCAAGTTCTCTTGTAGGTGCCAATATGACTGCATATGGACCCTGTGCAGCGTTTGCAGCTGTCATAGGAGGACGTTGACTTATATAAACCAACATAGGAAGAACAAAAGCTGCAGTTTTGCCACTTCCTGTTTCAGCAAGTCCTATCATGTCACGCTTTGCTAAGCCTATTGGAATAGCAGCCATTTGTATGGGTGTCGGTTGCTTGTACTTTGCAATATATCGAACAGAATCCAAAAGAACGCGAGGTAAACCAGTCTCCTCCCAATTTCGAGCCTAGCAAGTTCATTAGCTTAAAATACTCAAATGCAAACAAAACATACTGGAAAAGGAGCTTTTCCACCACGATAAGCTATGCTATGATCCTCGCGAAAGATTCTCCAGTCACGCTCCGTCATTTCTTCTTTTGGTTTTTCCGACCAGTGTCTCATGTCTTTTTTGTGTCGATGGTGAACAGGATCTTCAAGAGTCATATCCAGTCTACTATCCGGTACTCCCTCCATATCAGAAACTTTCGGTCTAGTGACACGTTTCGAAGGAGCCTTTGAGGGCGTGGAGGCAGGATCCATTCCTCCACGATGTCCTCTCCCAAAAAGGAGTGGAACTTCAACAAAGGAGGAAAGCTCAGCGTACTCTTCAGTGTTCAAAGTATCTTCCGAGTTGTCCCATTCGAAACGAAAACGGAATCTTTCGCTAGGCTTTGTTAGTCGTGACTTTGTATCCTTCTCTTTCATATAGTGTTTTCTAAGAAGTTCCTTAAGACGATGTGACTCTTCATCATTCTCCCGACTAGTGTCACTCTGTTTCTGATTTCTTTCTCTTTGTACATCTACAGGAGGTCTCGGGATGCCCTTTGATAAAGAGTTGCTATGAAATTGTGTACTTTCCACCTTCATAGGATCTACTGCCTTCCTCCTTTCATAAAGTTTTTCCAAGGCTTGTCTTTCTCGTTCACTTTTAGAGATAAAACGAGGCTTTTGTGCTTCTTCTTCTTCTTCTCTCTTCTTCTTCATAATATCCTCCAAAGAGATGGGTTCCCGCTTCGTCTTTTTCAGCTGTGTGTCATTAGAAAAAACTTGTTTCCCCAAAGATTGACTTTTATAGGGAAACGAAGAAGAAGAATGTTCTAAATTGCCACCGCTTTGTGGACTATCAAGGGTTTCAATATAGTCTGCCTTTGTCTTCCGAGAAGTAGTCTCTTCAACAAGTTCGGAACGAAAATGTTTTCTGCTGCGTTTCGAATAAACTGTAGAGTCTCTTCGGGAAGAAACAGAACGCTCTCTTCTTCTACTATGTTTCGGTGATATATGACGACGACTTTTCTCGTCCTTTGCGGATTGAAACATTTCATATAAAATCTCGGATATGGCAGAGACTAAAGGAAATTCTTGTCCTGTACAACCAAGTTCCAATGAAGCAAACAAAGCAAACGAGGTTATTGAATGTCCTTTTGGTTTTGGTACAAGAGCAACAAGTACTGAATGGGAAAAAGCTATAGCTCCTCTTTGCTGCCCACTTTGTCATGCTTTGCTCTATGAAACTCAGAGAGCAACACCTTGTGGACACTGTTACTGCAAAACGTGTAGCTTTAAAGTAAAGGACTGCCTCCTTTGTGCTGCAGATATAGAGGAATTTGCGAATGCAGCTGATGTGGACTCAGACGTTGAATCTTTCATCCGAGCACATAGTCATAACATAGATTTGTTGCAAAGTGATCAAACTCCCAGTACTCAAACGTCTGAAAGTGAGACTGACGTGCTGCTGAAAAGGACAACTTTTTTGCTCTATCAAGCTTTGAAAGCACAAAAGGGGGGTAACTCTGCTAGTGCCCTAAGCAGACTCCAGCAAGCTGAGTCGGAATTGATGCATAAGAAAGAACAGAGTTGTGTCAATCAGAGGTCCATTATTCTGGGCAAACTGAGCGATATACTGTACGTGTTCTCTTTATGGTACATTTGCACTGACTTGTGCGTTAGATGCAGTGAAAACGAACCTGGAAAAGCAGCCAAGTACATTGAACAAGCTTGTTTGCTGTTGGAGAACGACCTGTCAACAGGAGAACAGCTATATGAAAAGGAACTTTTAGGTGTTTTATCAACATCCCATGGAAAAGCTGGTGATATTTATGCTCTCCTTGAAAATGATGACCTCGCCATTAGTCATTATTCGAGAGCTGTTGCTTTGAAAGAACAGCTAATCGGCTTAGATGCTAATGCAGATACCTCCATGAGCTTACAAAAAGCCTTGTTATTGACGAAATTAGCAGAAATTCTCAACTTAGCAGCTAGAAAGCGTGCATATGATGCTCAAAGGGTGGTTGAATCCCTTGGACAATTAGATCATTCAACTCTTAGCGAGAGAGACCAGAACGTAGTAGAATATGTGAATAATTCAATTGCTTTCATTTTAGGCGAATGAAATCCAAGTATTTTACATAAAGTGGTCCTTGAAGAAAAAATATTTTCTTTAAATAGTTTAGAACCCCAGATATTTCCTAAGAAGGGCGCATAGCTCAGATGGTAGAGTGCTCGCTTAGCATGCGAGAGGTCACGGGATCGATACCCGTTGCGTCCAAATTTTTAAAATTTGCCTAGTTTCTCTGAATAATTTTGGTTGCAGTGCCTCGTGAAAAGCAGAGTTTATCAATCAATTTTATCAAAAGACATCTCTTAGTGTAGGACTTGGAATCATATGCAGAGAACACTAGGATAAATTGCAATAAACCTGTGTACTAGAAAAGACTAGAAAAAGTTGTAAAATCCTTCATTCACCCAAAATTTTCTATTAAATGAAAAGTTTTTGGAGAACTATTTGTTACAAACTTGATTTTGGTAATAATGTAGCAAACGCTTGATCCTACAGTACGAGTTAAGTAATGACATACTCCGATGAACAATAGTAAAATACCCATTCTTTATACAGCTCCTGCTTTGTTCTTTGTATATAGGGATCACCAAATGCATCCCATGGAAAGTGAGGAACTATTTCAAAAGTGCCATTTCCATAACAATAACAAGGAAACGAGAAAAATATCCCTTTCCTGATACCTAAAGAACATAAGACTTAAACCATTACGTAAACACAGTGTCATGACTGACCATAGGAACCATCACTACATACTACCATATTGACAACATCTTGTGTACCAGCAAACCAATCCCGCAAGTGATCTGCAACAGCATTTGCTGCTGACATTGCACTTGAAAGTTTTCGGGCCTTTATTACAGCAGCTCCCCTTTCCTGAATAATTGGAATAAACTTTTCACGTAAAAAATTTTCATCTCGGAGCCAGTCTGGTAGCGGTCCTGATGTGTATAGTAGTATCAAACAAAAACGACTGCTAAGAAAGATTTCTTTCAATCATAAAAAGCTTCTTACCTCTATTTGTCACTGCATGAAATAAATCTGGATATTGAGTATTAGAGTGATTACCCCAAACAAATACATTTTTTACGACAGAAGGTGATACCTTTCATTTGCAATCAGATAAGAATTTGATAGATAAAGTTAAAACACCTTGAGCTCATTGGCGATAAAACTAGTTGCTCTATTTTGGTCCAGTCTGGACAATGCTGTTATTTGTTTCTTGTCAATAGCCGAAGCGAAATGTGCTAATACAGCAGCATTCGTGTTGGCAGGATTTCCAACTACAAGAACACGAACACTTCTCTTTGCATACTTATGAATTGCCTCACCCTGTTCCTTAAAAATAGCTTTTCAAGTTCTAAAGTCAAGTCTTCAACCAATAAGACTGCGAACCTGCATTTTGAAGGAGAAGATCTCTTCTTTCCATGCCAAGTTTCCTAGGAAAAGCACCGAGAAGAACTGCCACATCACAATCCACAAAAGCTTCGCTGACATTGCTCGTACAATGTATAACTGACACTAAAGGATAAGCTCCATCTTCTAGCTACGAGCTTGTAAAAGCCATTCAAAAAGCAGAACATTCTTCAACTTACTTCCATCACCACGCCCCTGAGGCTGGTCTGTGCTTCTTCTATATCCAGAAGCACTAACTCAATCGGTTGGTCAGTCCCAAAAACGTCACCACGTGCTAAAAAAGGTAACAAACAATAAGCTATTTGACCAGCTGCACCAGTCACCGTAACTCTCATTGGCATATCCATTTTCTCGAAATGAAAGTGTTGACATAAAATGCGTCAATCCCAAAGCTAAGAGAGAGCCTTGACCTTTGGCACTGACGAGTTGAGAAATGAACACGTGTGTCAGTCGTGTAGACTACATTCACTAAAGACCTGAGCGCGCGTTTTCCTTTATCTTTCAAATTGTTTCACGATGAGTTCGTCAACTTTGATCTTAGACGTCTCACACTCCAAACGACCTCTGGTCTTTAGAGAGATACGTTTTCAACCAGAATGGACGTTAGAACATGTCAAGAAGAAACTCGAAGTCGTTACTGGAACTTTGCATTCTGACTTCTTAATAGAAGTATACGATGACAGATTCCAGAAAATTGGTGAAATGGTTGACGACCAACAGGCCACTCTAGGTTCCCTTCCTATCAGGAATGGATATCGTTTGCATATAGTCGATCACCGCGAAGAAGACTGGTCAGAAGACCGTATATGGAAAGAGGACGAAGGTCATATGGTTTCAAAATATCAAGTCCCAGAAGAAAACTATGCACAAAGAGAAGGTGAAAGGTGAACTTTCATTCATTTCTTGTGACTTACACAAAGCTTTTAGTCAGTGGGAGGAAGTTTCGTGAAGAGATGCTTCAAGCCAAAGCGTCATATTCAAACAATGACGTTGACATTCATGTAAGAATATTATGGAAATGTCATGCTTGAAAATTCTAATGGAATAGTAAAGATTGGAGATAGATGCCTCGTGGGTCCGGATAATCGCCTTGCAACTGTTCGATATATAGGAAAGCTTCCTGCAAGTGACGTAGCAACTGAGTTTGTCGGAGTCCAGTTTGATGATCCTGTAGGAAAGAATGATGGCAGGTAATCTTTCTCCGTGTATGAGTTTTTAGTTAAACTTACAACTCTTTCAAAAGTTTTCAAGGACATTATTACTTTCATTGCGAATCAGGATACGGAAGCTTTGTGCCGTATCATAGGATAACCAAGATGCAGACTATCCAACCAGAAGTAGGGAATCAGGCTCTAGAAGAATTGTAGAACGTTGTCATTTTGTAAGGAAAATATCGATATTTGGAAGAGTTTTTATTCTTTTGGTCAAATGCAATGACTTGTTTATGGAGGGCAACGTTACAGGGGTTTGTGTCGACAAGTTTTTTGTGCACAAGGTTCAACCCAAATAAACATGTATATTCCAAACTATATCAAAATTTCAAGAGAAAGCCTTCTTGTTTTGATAATATTCAGGACTATCTGACAACGAAACAAAAGTCGTTCTGTTCAGTTATCCGTGGTGACGGAAGAGGAAATACCTTCAGTGGAAGCATTGAAGAAATTACTTTACAAAGAGAGCGAATGATTCGTAACGAGGCTATTGCAGCAGTTCCTCTAGTGTGTATAGAAGTAGATATCCACGGGAACATGACTTCGAAACAAGTCCAAAAAACAGAATTAGGTATTTTCCGCAACGATGTAGTGTGCTTTGCTCACAAGTGACAATAGCCTCTTTTCTGAAGCTGAACTTTCGTGATTTGCGTGTGGTTGACCCAAGTTTTAGAAATGAATCTCCAGTATTCCTTGCCAGGAAGAACGTAGTGGTAGGAATTCCAAGATTTTTTTGCCCTGTTTTGTTAATAGGTTTTGGATACTTGAAGGTTGTACACTTCGAACATATTCGCGCAGTTATCCAGGCTACTTCTATACTCCTATTTGACCCACCCCATCCCTCGGTACAGAACTTCATACCTTCGTTGAGGACCAGAATAAGAGATCGTTCGCATCCTCTTCCTTTTGAGTTTCGTTCGTTAGAAGCTATTCTGATCGATGTTTGTACGTCACTTGTAAGTAGGGAGGTATTATCTCTGCTCTTTACTAATATAGAATTGGAAGAGTCGACAATTGCGAACCTTAGTACCTGCTGTTGAGAATGTACTAGACACGCTAAGCTCCAATGACACAGGGTTTGTCATTATTCAATCTTGTGGAACATTCAAAGTTTTCATTTTTGTATAGAGCGGATACTGTGAGATCGTGTTTGGATAGACTGCTTCCGTTGCAGAACAGCTTAAATGAGTTTGAAGTGAAAATTCGTGAGGCACATACTGCACTCAATGATGTATTACGTAGCGATGAAGACATGTCTGAAATGTATTTAACTACCAAATTGGAAACTGGTAGGACTTGCTGTTCCTCAAGGTCTTGGATATTAACGTTAGAATGAAGGACATCGTCGTAGAGTGGACCAGCATGAAGAAGTTGAAATGATGTTTGAAACCTATTTGAAACAGGTATTTATCATCTTATGCTATGGCTTCATTTGAATGATATTTTCTATTAGATCGATTCTATGCTTAATGAAGTGGCTTCCACCATTCAAACTGTTCGTGTTACCGAAAATATCACTCAAATACGTTTGGATGCCATGAGGAATCGTATCTTACGCTTAGAAGTTTATCTTAATCTTGGCATGCTATCTTTGTCTACCGGTAAGTGGAGAGAAAATTTCATGTTGGTATGTAATTACCATGGACAGGTGCATTTTGCTCCGGTTTGTTTGGGATGAATCTTACTTCTCATATGGAAGATCATCCTTATGCATTTTATCTTGTTAGCGCAAGTCTTTTAGGGTTCTCTGCGTTTGCTTTTTTGGTTGCAGTTGCTTGGATTCGTTTGAAGAGAATATTTCAATAGGCGTAGTCTTATTTGGATTAGAATATTGGCCACGTTGGGAAACTGTGATTTTGGATGAAAGCCGTTTGACTTTTTTTTGGGGGGCCAAGTTAGTGACGGCCTTGGAAGTACACTTTTCTTTTGCTATGCAGTTTTTAAGAAAATTGAACGTTAAAGTTTCAAGAAGCAAGACACCACCCACACCTGCACCCACTATTGCTGATATCAGGGAACACATTGAACTACTTGAAAGAAAGCAGCAAGTATGGCAAAAAAAGGTGGACGCCGAACAACAAAAGGCAAAGACTCTTTTAATGAAAAAGGACAGAAGAGGTAGGAATGTAGTACTATTATTGGGAAGAAGACTAAGTGAGCATATCAGGTGCTCTTATGGCTTTGAAGCGAAAGAAGATTCTCGAGAAGGAAATAGCGAATACGGAAAATGTTCGATACAACTTGGAGCTACAGGTAGGAACTATTGACCCTTGGAAACAACTCAAGTTTATCTTGGCTACAGGCTTTGACACTTGAAAATGCCAACGCGAGTGCACAAACTGTTGACGCTTTTCGCAAAGGAAACAAACAATTGAGGAAAGCCCACGAAAAGTTAAAGGTAGAAGAAGTTGACGACGTTATGGCAGATACCCAAGAACTAGTCGAAGAATCGAATATGATTTCGGAAGCTTTGGCACAACCGCTTTCCGGGAATACTTATTTGGATGAAGATGAACTTGGAGCTGAATTAGATGAACTAGAAGGTGAAGCCTTAGACCGCTATATGCTTGAAACAGAAGAGAAAATTGGTCAAGAAGAGAGAACAACTGGAAACTTAAGGGTGCCTAGTGCAGTCAAAGGTAAAACTGTCAAGGAAACGGTTTCCAGTCGTGTTGAGGTACCGAAAGAAGAAGAAGAAGAAGAAGTCAACGACGAAGAACGAGAACTTCGAGAGTTGGAAAGAAGTATGGCCATGTAGTCGTTGACCGCAACTTCTTTGGATGAGTTGTGTTATAACATTTATGCATGTATACAAATATATATCATATCTCTATCTATCTCTCCCTCTATATATATATATATACTCCAAGAGTTGAGGTCTTTTTTTGTGTCGAGAAAAACTTGCGAGATGGAAACATGAAGAAATAAAGATACCCTTTCATTATTTGATGTGTAGTAAATGATGTGTTTATATTGGTGGGAGAGTTTGTTCGGTTTGAATGAGTGAAAGAGAGGAAGAGTTTGAAGAAGTCAACCGTTTCTATGCGTCTGAAGAAACTTTTTTTCCCGGTGATTGGTTGACGTACGCAGAAACGTTAGAAGCACAGGAAGAGTTTGGAATTGATATAGACGACGGAAGTTCACTGGAAGAGTATGTTCCTCTCAGGTCTGCTGAACAAGCTACAGCAGGATTGGACAGTAATTGGGCAGGTTTGGAGTGGTTGGACCGTGAAGTTTGCGAGTTGCTAGAAGTGAAGGCTGAAGAAGCTGCTGTTGGGAGAGACGTTCAAGGAATCCCTTGGTATCAACTTCCATATTCAAGAGAGGATTTTCGTCGTTTCAGGCTACAACAGAATTTGTCGGAGAAGCTTACAAGGAATGAAGTATTCGATGACCGCAGCAAAGCCACTTGTGACTTTTGCAACCCGTCTACTTCTTGTTTTTTTCGTTTCTTTCATTTCACCCGTAGAGTCCGCTGTTCAGTTTCTCACTATCAACTGAGACATTTGGTATGGGCGCCACATCCACACCTAGTTTATACACAACATGAAAGAACTGTCGCTCGTTGGGATGTTTTGAGAAGACAGAGGAAGAGTGTGTTGCACTACTCACAGCTTCAGGGAACTTTCATTGAAAGTGGCGCCATGAGTATGTGTGTAGGACAGAATATCCTCGTTCTCGGAGGCCGTTGTGGAGAATTAGCGTTGTTTGACTTGGCAAATAGAAAGATTCTAACGGAGTTCTATTCTTCAGAAGATGACAGTGCCATCGTGAACGCACTTACTATTGTAGAAGATAGCAACAGTATGTCTGGCAAACTTTATTGTTGCAGTAATGACTGCTTTGTTCGATTTTATAACCTTTCTCGTTTGGAATTGGAGAGAAGGATCCAGTTTCCGTTTGCAGTTAATCATGCCAGTCTTCATCCCGATGGCAGTTTGCTTGTTGTTGGTGGTGATGATACGCGAGTTCTTCTCTACGATCTTAGAGCCGATTGTGTAGCTCAGACGCTTTATGGACACAGTGATTATACATTTTCAACCTCATGGCATCCTGACGGTATTTTCGTCGCCACTGGTAATCAAGATTTGACTTGCCGCATTTGGGATAGCCGAATGTCGGAGAAGGGACCTGTTCATACTCTTCCAGCAAGAATGGATGCTGTGCGTTCAGTTCAGTTTTCGCCAAATGGAAGATATTTCGCGATGGCTGAACATACTGACTTTGTTCATATTTATGACTTGAGTAAAAGAGTCTTTGAGGAACGTCAAGAAGTTGATATTTTTGGAGATATATCCGGAATGACATTTACAAAGGTAAGCGCATATCGGTTAAAGGACAACTTGACCGATTCCTGGCAGGACTGCGAAAGCATGTTTATCGGTATTCGAGATAATGAATATGGAGGAATCATGGAGTTGGAAAGAGAGAAGTATGATATTCTGAACGTACTGAATAAACAAATAGGGCGATAATGTGAAATGTCTCTAAATGGTAATATAAGTTTCGAACTTTATCAAACTACTTAAAGAAAGACTATTTCTATCAAAAATGTGCAGCGACAGAGAGATATTAAGTGACTCAACTTGAACTTCCGTCTTCATGCTTTTGTTGTTAACGGGGTTCTTTCTAGCAACTTGGATTGAACGGCATATAATGACTTTTTGAGTCTTCCTCATTTCTACGTTCTTGCTGTGGTGCTTGTGTCATTTCCCTATCATCTTCAATGTTCTGAGACGCCCCTGATGGAAGACTTTGTGGTTGAGTTGATGCTTCAGAAGGATTCATCCACGGTGCAGCTACTAACTCTTCTTGTGATAATAGAAGAACCCTTTTATGACCAAATTGCAGAGAAAAGGACTCCATTTCGATAGAGATGACATCTCGAAGGGTACTACATACAGTACACAAAACACTTGGTACGTCAGTAGAAGCACAATAGGCCAAGTGTAAACCGCAGCCGTGACAGACAAAATATTTTAAGCTAGGGCAATGTGTTATAGATGAACAGTTGGTACACTGAACTGCTGTAGCGCCTAAGGGAAATAACATGTTTTGATGACAACCCGAACAACGAGTTTGACCACCAATTGCCACAGTATCTATGGTTCGTTGAGCAGATGCATTGAAATACGACATAAAGCTTACATATGGGACGTAAACTCAAGACAGTTTTGCAAAGTGGGCACTGAACCAGAGCAGAACCAAGGGGAAAAGATAACAACTGTCCACAACTTGAGCACAACGCATGACCTTCTAACAACAGATCATTCCAGTTAGTATTGAAGTATGAAACGGAGCATTTTAGCAAGTCCGAAGATGTAAATAACAACTTACGATATATATCATATTCTATCGATGTGGGATAATATGGAGGATACGTTCTCAGTTCCATGTATAAGCATGCATGAGCCTTGTTCACCGGAGCTTACTCTAGCAGTTTGAGATTTTAATTTCAAAGGGCTTTGAAAGTTTTTTTAGTCAGTAGATAAGCGTTTTATACCAACTTGTTTACTCGTCCCACGCCAAGGAGAAATTATTCCATAAGCCGATCTAATTAGCAAGAGCAAAGCAAAGAGCTCAAAAGACTATTATCTGCAGTGAGTTACAGTTAAGGTTAGGTCGAATAGTATATGAGTGCTCCGACCCGTTTCGCCAATCGACGCTTATTACAGGAGCGACAAGAATTGCTTCTCAATAGCTATAACGAGACGAGCAGGAAGATTGGTTTGGATAAAATGAGTGTTTCTCTTAGTAGTTTGCTTCGTTAAAATTAGAAACTCCTCGGAATGTGCAGTGTTTCTTCTATTACACTTTACACAATACTTCCTACAAATTCAATGCTCAAGACAACGACCTTAGTGATCGAAGAATCGAGCTCAAACCACAGATTTGAATGGTTCTCCTGCGCTCCTCATCTCACACACTATCTATTGCTATTGATGGCATTGGTTCAACTGGCATCTCTGAAAGTATTTTTGAAGAAGCCTTTCGTTACATCAGATGTATGAGTTTATGTAAAATTTTCATTGCAGTATATTCAACCAAGATTAGGTGCTCTCTGATTTTCTCTTCGGTAGATTCAAGCTTATGAACTGTGCAGAGCTTGAAAACAGTTCGCTGAAGAATAAAGTAAGCTATTATGGAGTCTGTTAGTTGCGTTCTCTTACCTTCATAGACGGCACTCGTGACAGGCTGTAATACTGGAATAGGCTATGCAACTTGTCTGAAATTAGCTAAAGCTCAAGCTCGAATCTTGATATGCTGTAGAACTATGCAAAAGTCAATAGCCACTGCAGATAGTTTGAGAAGGGAGTTGGGTATTCACGACAAGGTTGTAACGACTTGTATTTTGAAGTGACAGTTATATTTATTTACGTAGGGTCGCTTTTGTTGTTTCGAGGCAGATATGGAGAACTTGGACGCCGTCACAACTTTGGCTCAAGACATCATTCAGTTGAATGAGCAAATACACTTCGTTATATTGAATGCAGGCGTTATGCAAGCAGCAGTAAGAACCACTAAATTTCTGCCTGGTTAGTTCTTTATTCACAAGGTGTTTTAGAACAAGAAAATCACCAAAAACGGACTGGAGCTGCATTTCGCTGTAAATCATATGAGTCACTTTCTATTAACATATCTACTTATGCCTCAGTTAATACGAAGGTACGAATTTGTTCACACGAATTTTGGAATCATCATCACTTAATAATATCAGTGCACCATGTCGCATTATTGTAGTCACTTCCAATGCTTATGAATACGGCAAACCAGAGCAGCTGGCCGATCATCGCTTTCAAAGCTTTCCTTACATAGCTGTCTCTGCATATGCCCAGAGTAAACTTGCAAACATATTGTTTGCTTATGAATTGAAGAAACGGTTCAAAGGTATTCCTTTGGGTTTTTCTATATTCATGCTAATTAGTTGTTTTCTGTATAGATAAAGGAATAGATGTGTTTGCTGTGCATCCCGGTGCAGTGTTATCAGATATTTATCGTGAAGAGTGGTTATTACATGCTCCATTAGTCGGATTCTTCACACAAAAAGTTTTATCTCGTATCATGAGGACTCCGCAGGAGGGAGGAAAAACAATTGCAGCTTTGCTTGGCGACGCTCTATTTTCTTCAAGTCTACGAGAAGGTTATTCCGATGCGTGTTTTTCCAACCTTTATTGGAAAGACTGCAAACCACAACCAGTAAATAGCAACCTTGTCAACGATATTTCTGCTGAGTTTCTATGGCGACTTTCCATATCCATACTCAAAGACCTTGGAATTTTAAACGATGAGCGTCTCGAAATGGTAGAGCTTTGCGAAAAGACAAATTGATCGATCGGTTCGATTGAAATGCCCATAAGATAGAAACTCATCCATCTTCCACGTTTACAATTTTCTATTTTTGGAAACTTTATAGACGATCCGTACTGATCATTGGTCGGGGAATCAGCACATTTGTTGGAACCAGCAAAGAATTATTCACTGGCTTCCCAAGTGTCCCTTTGAAAATGAATCGCCGCGTTTAGAGCATCTCTAGAAAAATAGCGAAACGACACATTCACAATGTAAATAAGCAAACTTACTCTTCATTCTTGTTATTGTTTGATTTTTTAATTGAATAATGAAATTGGCTTTCGTGCTATTCGCTTTGGTATTCGCCGCTGCCTTTATAAATATTCAAGCAGTTCCTTTTGGAGAGGATGCATTTAGTTTCAGTGAGACTTCAGGAAATGCTTCTGCTTCCGGCAACGCTTCTGTTATTCCATCTTCAACAAAGATACCCAAACTACAAGTAACCAGTAGTGCTTCATCGAAGGACAATGGAAAGGCAGCACAGGTAGACTTTGCTGATTATTCAAAGGGATATCCTTCTCCATCTTTTATGTATACATCAACATTCTCTCCTTATTCACAATTTCCTTCCTACCCATCCTATCCTTCCTATCCTTCGTTTAGTAATGGAGATCCTTCTTTCAATGGCTTTGATAATAATGCGGAGTTTGGAGGCTCAGAAATCTTCTTTTAATGCCATGACACACGCATTCTTTTTTGTGCTTTAGAAATAAAAAATTCGTTGTTGTGTTCGCTACTTTGTCAGCTAGTCAGTGACCAAATGATTCCAACTTTATTTAAAACATTTTTCTATTTGTATATAGAATACAGAAATATACAGTCCAAGTAATACAATGTGAATTTTCTAAGATAGTTCTATTTCTAATGGGTACATTTAGTTTCCTAAACCGCTTTCTATTTCAGATTGTCTTTCCTATTTCATAATGTTCTGAGATGACGTGATTCTTCATAAGTACAATTTGGTTACCTGTGAAAGCGTTTCTTCCTGGAAAATAACATTGTAAAAAACTCGTTGGTTTTCAATCAACTGTAATAGAAACTCAATAACCAATACTGCCAAACCGAGAACAAAACCACTCATCAAGGAGTTGGTAAAAGGAACCACGCATAGCGTCATAATAGCAGGAAGTACTTGTCTCTCGTTTCTCCATTCAATATGTTCTACTTCCTGAAAGTTTTCTTGTGATATATATTGACTCGAAAACAAAAAAAGTAACACTACCTTGAGCATAAGTGCACCAGCCACAAACAAAGGAGGAGCTGTTGCTCCAAGTGGAATTGACTGAAACAAACTCATAACGATAGTAGAGAGTAGGAAGCAAATTCCAGTTACTACCGCAGTAAAACCTGTTCTGCCACCTTCACGGATGCCAACAGAAGACTCTGCGAATGGAATGCATACGCCAGATCCCGTCAATCCTCCGACAATGGTTGTGACGCCTGTAAGAAATACCGTCCAAATGGATTGTGTATTATTGGGCCAAGTTGAAAGCAATGAAGAGAAGACTTCGTTGGTCCCTAGGATACTTTGTGGAACGACTGAGAGATCGAGTAAAATAATCCAAAATATTCCAAAGCTTCCTCCTACTATTTCCTTCCAAGACTTGAGAAACATTTGAGAGCTAAATGAATACGATATACTTCCAATCTTCGGAAGCAAGAATAAAGTGTTTGGAAGTGGGTGGTTTGAATAGAAGAACAAAAGCACAGCACAAATAACAATGCTCAGTAGTGTGCCACCGGGTATTCTTAAGACGTTCAGCAACTGTAAGATAAAAAGCCCAAAGAGAAATATGTACAACTTGCCGTCGTTGAAGCTGAAGGTAAAGGTTCTAAACGAAAGAAAAACGAGAAGAAAGCCGATGGAAGCAACAAGTCCGTGACGTAAGCTCTTTGGAAATTGTTGAACCACGCTGACAATCAAAGTTGAAGATAGACAAGGTGCAGTCAGCACGAGAAACAGTCCCACCAGCCAGGTAAGCGTCATGGTATTTCTATACCCTTGTATGGGTTCCGAAGGAAACTGATCGATCATATTTGCCAAGTACGCATTCAAACCAGCTGCTGGTGCTAGTGTAAGGGGAAGGTTAGTGAAAAGACCAAGCAAAATGGAGCCTATTGCACCCGTGATAGCAGTTGCAACTGCTACTTCAAAACTCGGTACTGAAGCTTTTGTTGAGAAAAGTTGCGAGTTGAGAAGTAGAACATAAGAAGCTGCTAGAAAATTTGCAATACCGCTTCTTACTTCCTTGCTTACGGTGCTATCACGGCCACGAATGCTAAAGAGCTTTTCAAATATAGCAGACATGACCAAAATTTCCAACTCACTTGAGTATCAGAATTCATATGGTTATTATATACTAGCTTAGAAAGAAAAAACGACTGAAATAACTTTTAAAAACCTTGTTATAGTCTAGGAAGAGTCTTATTGTCTACGCGAATTCCAAGCCACTTTGTTTCTACAGGCTTCTTGTCCAATGGAAAATGGCTAAATAACTTGATGCTTCTGAGGGTTCGGAACATGTATATAAGCATTTGCAATCCCAATAAGAGTCTCTTGCTATGAATGATCCGAAAAGATAGTCATGGTTCTATTGTCACATGACTGATAAAAGATTTGCTTTCCATTGTTTCCATCTAATAAACCATTCACAAAAGTCCTTTAACCCTTCTTTTAAATCCACTTGTGGCTCAAAATCCAACAATTGCCTTGCTTTCGTAATATCCGCGTATGTACAAGGCACATCTCCTTTTGGCAAAGGGCGGTATTTTATGATTGCCTTTCTGCCTAATAAATCTTCAAGACACTGAACCATATAAGATATTCTTTGAGGATAACAGTTGCCCAGATTGATCAACTCCAGGTCATGTCCCTTGTGCAATGCTGCAATAGTGCCCTTTACAATATCTCCTACGTGAGTAAAGTCTCTACAAGGCTCCATAACTGAACCAGAATTTATCGTGAGTACAGGTTCTTCAGTTTGATACAAGAAAAGCTCTCTTTGTTCATGAATTGCTTCAGCAAATAAGTAGTACGACATATCGGGGCGTCCCCATGCACCATAAACTGTAAAATATCGAAGTCCTATTCCATTTTGTATCTTTCGTAAAATTAAGAGACCATTTTAAATATTACGCACCTGTTAACTTGAAACCATAAAGATGATGATAAACTTGTGCCAAAAGTTCGTTGGATATCTTAGTAACAGCATATAGATTAGCTGGTGCAGTAACGGGATCGATTTCACAAAACGGTACTTTTTTGTTTTTTCCGTAAACTGAAGAAGAAGAAGCGTATACTATAATTGGAAAATCCCATTTCATAGCTACACAAATATTTTTCAAAGCCTCCAAAAGGGAAACGAATCCTTGCACATTAGAACTAGTGTATGAAACAGGATTTACCAAGGAATATTGAACTCCCGCTTGAGCTGCAAGATGTAGTACGTGAGTGAATTGATATTCTCCAATCAGCAGTTCCAGAGCCTTTTGATCAGTAATATCCATATCCTGGAGTGTAATTCCAAACTGATGAAGCAGAACTTGTGCTCGGAGTCTTTTGAGGTTTTCGTCGTAATAGTCATTGAAATTATCAACTCCAACAACTAAATCTCCTAGCTGACTTAACGATTTGGCTGCGTGAAAACCTATAAAGCCTGCTGCTCCCGTAACCAAAACTCTACGACGCTGAGTTGTGGATTGGCTTCCCGTAGAAAGCAGCCAAACAGTTCTTGAAAGAACTTTTACTCTAGAATTTCTATTGTGACACCATTTCGTCTTTCCAATAATAAAACTGTCCATATTGGCAAAACAATGAAGACTGTTGTGAATACCCGTGAACATCTCGAATGAATGACTTGAAGAGTGGCAATGCTTTGAAGCTCAAAGTGTTTCCTTCCATGGATGTTGTTTATTACAATATGACTATGTACCACTAGGAAATAGTCTTCATTCATTCCAAAGTTATATCGTCCTTAGCAAATGGAGATAAGTTTTTGTGTCGATAATAATAGGCAAATGATAGAGTAGCAACCAGAGCAACAAAAGGTGCACCCACTGTAAGGGTTACAAACCCTCGAATAGTTTCGACTACAAAGAAATTGGAATGAAAACATTCAATCAACTAAAAACAAAATTGTTAGCATATATCAAAAATGAAGATATATATGGAACCTTACGAGAGCGTTCCAAGTGAATAAACACACGAGAAAGCGCTGAAATACAAAAGGTGCCAAGAAAGATAAATATTCTTGTTTTACACCTTCTGAATACTTTTGTCTTTTCTTTTCCAATTGTATCAAGCTCTGTTCAACTCTTTCTAAAGAGTCTATGGTATCCTACAAGGAAAATCAAACCGAATTAGTCACAGACTTGGTGTTCCACTTACAGCAACTACTGTTGAAATATCTGTTGTCATAAGAGCAGACAACTTATCCGGTGAAAGATGGCAGCATTCTTTAGATAGAATTTGTTTCAATTCCGTCCAAGTGGACGCAACTTGTTGAAGTGAGTACAAGAAGCTTTCCAAAGTTTGCTTGAGTGCAGACATTTGTCTCAATTTCTTACTCATTTGATACAAGTCTGTTATGAGCAGTTTATCTTCAGTGCTTTCAGATATTGAAGATAACTCTGAAAACTGTTGTTTGTATTCCTCACATACTGTCTTCAAAATAGTGAGAGTGATGAGTTGTTGTTTCTCTGAGTTGGTGGTTATACAAGCGTACGTAAGTCTTTCTCTCTCCAGTAATTCTAAAAGAGTAGAAAACAAACGTTCTTCATTTTCGTAATAGAAAATGAACAGCGTGTCGTTGGTCAGAATTCCTGAAACTAGCTCAAAGTAGAAAAAGAGAGTGTCTTCCACAGTCCAGAAGCCAGGTGAAAAGAGACCATACTGAACAAGTTCAAGTTGGAACTTGGTTTTCATACAATCAAAGTTTTCATCGTTTTCTTTCACCAACTTCAAGGTCCCTTGAGAAAGCCTTATTTTTGCGAATTTCCTATCCATGAAAAAACATAATAAATATGACATGTGTGACTCGTACGTTTATATTGAAATTCGGATTCCTGTTGTTGTGCGATGGGAAAAGAGAACAGCAGCAGTTGGGAAATGGAAGGAAGAATGGATGGTTCATCATTAGTAGTATATCAGTTAGTAATGATATTCAGTATGAAATGACTATACTATGGTTCTGTTGATAAAAACTATCTAGAAACGATGCACATGAATACTAGGTTATTTCTATTACTTGTTTATCATTTTATTATGACCAAAATAAAGTCTTTAGGCCCAATGAATTGTTTGAGCAAAATGAAATCTCTCAACCCGCCTCTTTTAGTAGCCTTGAACAAGCTTTCCTTTCAAAGAAATATACCAACTTGCTTCGTGAAAAATATTAGTGGAGTTGCTTATACTTTTTCGCGCCACGGTAAAGTTACGGATGTCCTGAAAAAGGAGACTCAAAGTTATGATGAGAAGAAGCTTGGTCCGTCGCAAGTACTCGTGTCTTTTCTTGCCTCCACTATAGGAACAACAGATTTGGCTTTTATAAGAGGCATGGGCAAACTAGATGGTTCTTCTTCCATCAAGTTGCCTTGGGTTGCTGGTTTAGAGGGCGTGGCAGAAGTTGTAGCTACGGGAAATCAGGTAAAGTCTGTCGGTGTTGGAGATCGAATAATACCTTTTGGTTTTGCAATCGGTGCCTGGAGAGAACATGGTATATTCAGTGAATCACAAGTAGTCCCGATTTCCAAATCGGTTAAGCTAGAATACGCGTCTTTGGCATCAGGTGGTCCATGTGTTGCTTATCGATTGCTTGAAGATTTTGTTCATCTTTCACCCGGAGATGTTGTTATACAGAATTGTGGAACAGGAGCAGTTGGTCTTTCAGTTGCTCAAATAGGAAAAGCAAAAGGATTGCGAGTAATAAGTGTCATCCAAGAACGCGGAAATTACGGTCCTACTGTGGAGAGACTGAAGGCCTGGGGCAATGATATTGTTGTGTCACATCGTTATGTTGGAACTTTTGCAATGAGACGTTTATTGGAAGACTTGCCTCCACCAAAACTGGCTCTCAATGGTGCTGGTGGTCCAACAGCAACTGAACTTGCACGTTTACTTGGAAAGGGTGGTACAATGATAACGTACGGAAATGCTTCCAGGAAACCTTTCAGTATTCCAACAGGTATATTTACTACAAATGATATCTCACTTAGAGGATTTTCGATGCTCAGTTGGTTGCAATCAAAGTCAGAGAGTGACGTGAAGAAAATGTTACAAAGTGTCACTCAAATGATGGAAAATGATCAGCTAAAATTCTGGATTGAAAGGAAAAAGTTGGAAGAACTCGAAGTTGCGTTACAAGCATTGTCAAGACCACAACAGGAAAGAAGAATAGTTTTAGTAACGAAGAAGGGAGAGATGTATTTGAGTGGTTAACGTCGCCGCTACTATAAAAAAACAATCACAATGTTTCTAATTCTAAAGAATTAACAAACAAGAACTTGAGTTTGTTTCGGTAATCTTTTAGTTACCATTAGAAAACCTCACCAAAGGCTTGGTATTTTCATTTCTTTATTTATTTCTCAGTCATATATTGAATCTTAACGAAGAACTTTACATTCCAATTGTATTACTTGGAATATCTCCGCACATTGAGATGTCGCCATTTACTTTGAACAAACTTTTACAAATCTTTTAAATCCTGTCTAAAAAGTGAATAACTGGTTCTACTACGCCTTGTGCAGCTGAACCACTTTCAAAGGAAACCACATATTGTGAACACGCTAGCAAAGAGTCTATATTCGTTGCTAAAACCGATTCATCTCCACCTGAAGGAGCCACTTCTCTCTGATACTTTAATATTTCTTCTCCTAGTATTTGTCTAACTTTATCGAGTGGAAAGCTTTCACATAAATCTATCTTGTTACAAAATATCAGAATGGGGATGGCCTTCCGGTTCCGCTTCTTAAGCAACTTGAAGATATTGTAAACGGAAATTGCTTCTTTTCTTATTTCCGTTTCCAACCTTGATACATCTAAGACGTAGATAATAACCTTAGCGTGAAGGACCTGATCTTCCAATTCAGTTTTCAGTCTTTCGTTACCGGGAAAATCAACAAAGTTCGCTTCCTTCAAAGTCTTCGAGCCACGGGGAATAAAAGTACCTTCATTAGGAACCATGGAAGTTACAGACTGAAATTTGGGAGCTTTTCCTGTTCTTAATACGTGATAAAGGGTAGATTTTCCACTACCAGGTTGTTCGTCTTCGCCAGAGCGCCCAACAATTAATATTTTCGAACGCACAGGAGAATAGTGTCTCTTGACATATAAAACCCAAATACAAATCAACAGAAATAGACAAACACAAGAAGAAACAATAGCCACAGTAAACTTATTTTCTAAAAAAGGCAGCACTTTCCAGAACAAACTGTTCTCTTCAAGTAGCATCGCTCTCTTCAAATTATTTGGAAGTCTTCCAATAATGAATTTTGAACAAAAAGAAAGTTTACGAGTAGGAGAAAAAGTTGTCATTGAAAAATATGTATCTAAAGAAACTGGTTTGACAGCAGTTAATGTTCAAGTTGAAACACCTATAGTATATGGCTATTTTTGTTTGGGAACAGAAGTAAGTTAATAGTGAGGCCCTTTATCCTTAAGCGTTATGGTTTGTCCAAGATTCGTAGCGACGACGGGTTGCCACACACTTTAGAACATTTAATATTTCTTGGGAGCGAATCTTATCCTTATAAGGGGGTTTTAGATGACATAGCGAATCGTTGTCTTGCAAGAGGAACCAACGCTTGGACAGATGTTGATCATACGGCCTATACTTTGGAGACGGCAGGGTCTGAAGGCTTTATTTCTATGCTTCCTATATATTTGGATCATATCCTATTTCCTTTGCTCACTAATGCAGGTTTCCTTACTGAGGTATGTCTTCAAAGAATAGTTTTCAAGTGAATAAAAGCAACTAGGTTCACCACATCAATGGAGAAGGCTTAGATGCTGGAGTGGTTTATTCAGAAATGCAAGCGCGCGAAAACGCAGGCTCTTCTAGAGCACACAGGCAGTTGCTTCGTTGTTTATATGGAACCCCTGAAGTTTGTGGACTTTCCGCGGAAACTGGAGGCATTTTAGCAAACATTCGTGAGCTTACCAATGAGCAAGTCCGTAAATATCATGAGCAGTATTATAGATCAGAAAACTTGTGTGTTATTGTCATTGGCAGCGTAGACACAGAGTTGTTGCTTTCTACATTGCAGGCAATTGAAAACAAGATGATAGTCAAGAGACTGGAACGGGGTTGGCAACGCTTGCCTTTTGAAAAACCATGGAAGGATCCAATACCTCCCATGCCACCTTTGGAGAATGTAAGAAAGCAACAGTCACCATGCATTATTCAAGCTACATTGTTACTTAGGAACTTTTATCAATCACCTTTCCTGCAGATGATGAATCTTGTGGTTCTTTATACTTAGGGTGGAGAGGTCCTTATTGGAATGAATTTGAAGTCATTGCAGCTATCGATGTGTTGCATAGTTACTTAACTGCAGGCGCCTCGAGTCCATTACATGCTTCTCTAGTTGATTGTGAGGAACCTTTTTGTAGTGGTGTTCACTATTCATTGTTAGAAAATAAGGTAAATATTTGTATCTTATAACGTTTGATTGTTTATGTATCGTTTTCTTCAGGCAACAGCGCATATCTTTGTGGCAGAAGATGCATCTCCAGAACATTTTCAGGATATTCTTTATCGATATGACCAAGTTTTGAATTCTTTATGTCGTCGTGGTTGTTTGGATATGGAAAGGCTTCATGGACTCGTACATCGAGCAAAAGTTCAGTTTTTATCGTCTTTAGAAGAATCACCGGAGAGTTTGGCATTCCCAGTTATAATCCACTTTTTATATCATTCTAGCGAAGACTTTCTGAAGGATTCGTTGAATGTTGTGGAAAGACTGGATCTATTGTATGAGAAGAGTGAAGAATTTTGGATAGATGTGTTAAAGCGGTATTTTGTTTGTATAAGAGGAAAAACTATTATTTTAGAAAGTGTTCCGAGTATTGCTGAAGGTGACCGTCTTCGAGAAGAAGAAGAAAAGCGTATCGATGAACGTCGTCAATCTCTTTCACCGAATGACTTGGAAGCGTTTGGCAAGTCTCTTGATAGTGCGAATGAACAAAATAACAAAGGACCTCCATTGGAACTGATTGCATCTATTCCTGTACCAGATCCCGAAAAAATAAGATTGATTCCTATTTCTACTTATCGGGAGATTCCAGAGGTAAGGTCCCTATTGAATAATGAACGTTTTTGATTTGCCTCATATTGTAAAAGGTTCGAAACGCCTCTTTTTTAGAAACACTACCGGAAAACGAGTCCAAGTGTCAGCAAGTGTGGTTGTCTCAGTCAAAGGAAGAGAATCCTCTTCCTTTTCTGTTACAAATCGATCATGTCCATTCCTCGTTTATAGAAATACGAGCGGTTTTGAATACTCAAGACTTGGAACCGTATCTTAGACCTTTTTGTGTATTGTACATTGCAAGTGTACTAGAAACATCACTTGTAGATTCAAATGGCACTGTTATATCGCATCAACAAGTTGTTGACGACTTAATGAAAGAAAGGTAATTAGGAAGACCAACTTAAGATTGAGGATTGACAGTGCCTCAAAAGTATTTTTGCAGAAACTAGCATTGGTTTTGGTGGAGGTCATACTCCTTATGACTGCGGAGAGTTTCCCCAAGTTCTAGTAGTGGAGTTGAAATTCGAAGTGAGTATGGCATAATGAATAATAGTTTTGTGGATACGACTAATTATTCCAAAGTCTCACAAATATTCACAAGCTATTCAATGGCTCTACAAATTGTTATTTCAAACAGTCTTCTCTGCAGACCGTCTAAAGACTATAGCTTCAAAACTTTCCAAAAATATCTCGAGAAAACGGCGCAGTGGTGCTGCAGTTACTCGTTGCATTGCATCTTGTTTGAATTTTGATTTGAAGAAGAGTAACTTGGCAAGCTCGTGTTCTCTCTATCAGTATCACTTTCTGGAGGTACGATGACCAAAAGAATGTTTTTGTTAATTGCTTATAGTTTCTATGAAGAGAGTTTTGAATCGGTTGGATGCTACCCCAGAGCAAGTAGAAAATGACTTGGAAATGTTTCGAAAAAGCATTGTGCAGCCACATAATTTAAAATTTCATTTGGTTGCAGACCTTGAGCTAGTGAGCAGAAACAACCGGCATATCTCACTTCGTGAGGAGTGGCATAAATATTTTGGTTTCTTAGCAGATACAGCTACCAATGGGACAGTTGTAATAGAGAATGATTCCAAGATTGCCTTTACAGCTGAGACTAGATTAGAGCAATCGAATGATAATGAAACTGTTATTGTGCCTTTACAAGCTGTAGAATCTTCCTTTATGTTTCTAACGGCATTGGGACCTGACAATTTTATGCATGAAGATATTCCAGTATTGATGGTAATGATATTCTTTAGAGAGGTTTGTTGCTTGAAGTGAATGCTACGTTTAGGTATTATTTGAGTACCTAACTATGTTGGAAGGACCTTTATGGAAAGGTATACGTGGAATGGGATATGCATATTCATATGGGATGCGTTGCGACCCTGAAGAAGGCTTGATTTATTTTTCGTTGCATCGTTCTTCGCAACTTTGCTTATCCTATCAAACGGCTAAGAATATATTTCAAGATTTTGTAGAAAACAACCGGTCCGTTGAAAATCATGGTTTAGAGGCAGCAAAGGCTGGGGTTATCTATTCTATCATTGAGAAAGAAAAGACAGTAAATGATAAGGCTGTAGAAAGTTTCATGGATTGGAATTTAAGAAGGTTATCCAAACCGGAAGCATTCACTCGTGAGTTGTTGGCTGCAGTTGCAAAAGTGAATGTAACTAGCGTTGAAATTGCCATGAGAAAATATCTTTGCAATTTGTTTCATGACGGCGTGTCGAAAATGATTATTGTTACTAATCCTCTCTATGTGAAAGATATCGAAAGTTTATTGGAGCACGAAGAAGAACATAGGAAGACTCTTGTACTTGAAGACCTCGACTCATTTTTCAATAACTTGTGCAACTCCCCGTGAATCTTATTCATCTTGAACTTTTAATGGTTTCAGTGAAATATTCTTTATTATTTCAGGCATCCCTTGCATCATTAAGAAATAACGGTGGAAAGGCTCATGGAGACTAGAATATCAAAGTTTTGCGTAGAATTGCAAACTAGTTTTTGATATTTTGCGTTTCCGTTGTAAGTTGTTTCCTCTAAATAAACAATGCAATAGAACATGATTCTCTAGCCGCATATACTGTCTCGTCTTTCCTTGAATACGAAATCAGAGTGATTGCCAAGAACCTCATTCCAAAAAATTGATATCAGGCTACTTTATGAAAACTAAGGTCCAGAATTTTGTATGGGTTATATAAATAGATTCGAAAAATCGTCTAGTGCTTTGCCATTAGACCCTTCAGTACGGAGAAAATATTCTTCCTAAAATGGAGTAAGGTTAATACGATGTGAATTTCTCAATTTTTCTTAATACATGCATTCTATCATCTTCATTTAATGATGAGAACCTGAGAACAACAAGTTGGAATGTATATATCGTTAAAAAGTAACAAACTTGGAATTATGCGGATCCCTTTAATAAGCTCTTCTGGTGGAACAAAAAGTAACGCAGTATTATCTCTGACAACAAGTAAAAGAAGATTCAAGACAAGCACGATTATATGTGGCAATAAGTTGTCAAGTTTTGAAGGATATCCAAAATCCAATCTATTATTTCATCGTTTTCAATGGAAAGATAGTCGAGCTTGAAAGTTTGAATTCAGCCTCGTTTATGTCATCCAAACCATGCAACTGTGGTCAGAATTATAAATTGTTCAAAAGTTTGATATAGTTTTTGACAGTGTCTTATAAAACAGCTCCCGATTTATAACAACTTTTGAAAATTGTTTGTTTTAGAAAATTTCTCAGATATTAAAACAAGATATTCCTAAATATTTTTGGAAAGAGATAAAACTATTTCTTGTAGGGTTGAAATGCCAATGTTTCTCGAATGTGGATTATCCACAGACTTGAAAGCGTTCCTTAAATTTGATAAAATGTCTTTGCCAATAAAGTTTTCTACATCAGCTTCAGAAAGAATAACCAATTCACAGTTGTGAGGAATCAAGAATTCTCCAACACTATCGCCAGATGAATAACAACGACTAGAATAATTCAAGTCCTCAGATACGTTGGTTGCTAACTGAGTACTCATAATAATCAACATACAATGCCATGTAGGATGACTAGTCAATACTTGATCATGCACTGGTTTCAAAAACTTGTGAGCTTCTTCCAAAATTTCATTCCATCTAATACCATTACGACTCCATCGGCCTTTACAAGCAATACCTACAATCATCAAGTTCTTCTCATTCGTTCTTCCATGCAACTTGAATAATATATCTGGAATATGAAAAGTTGAATGAAATGGAATATATATCTTTTCAAATTCCAAAATTTCTTCCACTATCCTTTCCCATTCATTATTGCTTCCAAATGTCATTCTCTCTGTTCCTAATACAGTTCTGGTATTATGTATAGATTTCATATAATAAGCAGCAGATTCGGAAGAAAATTGTAAATTCATTTCATTCCAAACACGAGACAATTGACCAAGAGTAGAAAACATTGAGCTGTTTGTAGGACGCCGAGAAAAATGTAAATAAAACAGTGTAGCAATAAGACCTTCCAAAATTCGACATTTCGACTCATAAAAGAATTCCATAAATTGAGACTTGAGAGTTTGTAAAAGTAACCATTCTAAACGATCATCCTTTAAGCCTTGGTCAATATATTCAATCAGTAACTTGGGAATCAACACTTCATAGCGTTCGTTGCGGTCTGGTTCTATAACCAATCGACGATAGAGGCACATATCTGTAACTAGATCAAACAAAAACACATCAGAATTTGAGCTTATTTGCACAGTTTCATCAAAATCAAATCGAATACGATACAAAGATAATAACGTAAGCATTCTTAACAAGCGCTTACGCTGCTCACTGAGACTTATCAGACGAGGTAAAAATGGCGCAACACAATAATTTGTTACTAGAAAGCTATTCATTATGATCAAGAAGGTTTCCTTAGATAATAACAAATTGATGTTGGATGATTTATACAGCAAAAGGTAACTGATTGCTCGAACAAGTAAACCAGGAACACCACCAGTCAATTCCAACAACAATTCTGCAAGTTCACTAGTTAAGAAGTCTTCATGACAAAGAATTTCTGAAACCTTTGGGCTCCCAGGGAATAAAAAGGAAGAACTTTTCTCCAAATGTTCCACGATACTATGTTTCTCAAGCGGCGAAAGAGGAATAAATACTAACTGAACCCTTGAGACTGAAGCTACGTAATTATATATATTTAAGCCTTCACTTTTCCCAACAACTATAAAAAACAAGTCCGGTTCTTTACACAACTCACGAATAATACCGAAAAAGTCGTTGTATGGTAGAACTCTACCGTCGTGGGTCCTTTTGAAATGAAACTCGTCGAGACTTTCGTCTAGGACACCAACTTCATCAAAAGCTATAACAAGATATTGATCAGAAGGAATGCCCAAAGTCTTCCGTAGCTCTGGAATTAGAAACTTTGAACAAGGAGGAATGTGTCTGTAGGCTTCATAAACTGTAGACCCATCTAATTACAAGCTGATCGGTACAATAAAAAGTACAAAGCCCACTCAAGTGTGGGCTCCAACTCCCTTTGATCTACATAAAGCAAAGAAGCCTTTTTCAGCTTCTCCAAAAAGAGTCTGCTCGAAAGGTCCGAAGCAAAAGTCGACAGGAAAGTTTCGACAAACCTTCGAACCAACTCCAAATAGGTTTAACAAAACGTAGTTTTGCGAGAGCCAAAAAGATGAGGGACATGTTAAACCCCTGAGTTGCTTTCGACTGTTACGAAGATCATACAGTTCTTCTGTCACTCGAAAAACATCCCTTTCACGGTTTACTACATATGGGTTGTATCGGTTTGAAACATTACACTCAACCATCGTCTTCTCAAGTATGAAAAGTTGGGAATTGTTGCTTTTAGATGGCTTGAAACAGATTCTTCATTATCTAACGATAAGTAGTATTGAAAAATAAGTTTAAAATAACAAAGAGGGAACCATAAGCTCTTTTGTGAGCAATAATACTTTGGGTCATGTTATTCATATTTAGTGTTATTTCAGAACACCTCCCTTAAAGAAGTTACCTCAAAGTCGAGTTCACTTGAAGTTCAAGTGTGGCAATGCGATAAGGAAATTGAAATCCATATCTACGGAAACGTAACTAACATTTGCAAACGGTAAAAGAAGTGCAAGTTTATCTAAAAAGATTGCCAACACTTTTGTAGATGAATCTGAATAAAGAACAACTAAACAGAAGCTTTTTGCTTCCTCAGCATATTGGCAAGATATCTCAAGTTACTAAGCACGTAATGACTTTGCAGTGAGATAAAAACAAAAATTACATGTCTTTATTAGGACCACGACTTCTATAAGGCTTCCATCATCTTCTACAGGGAAATCATGGGCATACCACAAACTAGTCCATAAAAGCTACTTTGCTAAAAACTGTCGTATTCCTAACATAATTCGCAATCTTAGTGAAGGACTATCGATACCGCACTTCAAAAGAAACTCTGTTGTCACGCCACTCAAATCTATCATTCCTATGAAGGACAACCTGGGCAAACAATAGGCAACATCCTCTTCAGAAAGACCACAACGATCTCTTAAGAAAGCATTCCAATCAAATGACGAAGACAAAGAACTCGATGCTGCAACACTTTGTTCGCCTCGTGTATCTCCTCCTTCCACTTGCATAGCACTTTGATAACCTTCCATTTGCATCCTATTCTCCTCATTTGTTCTCGGTCTTATATTTCGAGCCACTCTTGAAGTAACATTTGATTGCTCCGTTTCCAAAGATGAAACATATTCATTGAACATCGACTCAAAGACAGTTTCACACCATACTGAAAAGTCTTTACTGAACTCTCCTCGATTTGCTTCCCCAATTTTCCTCAACACTTCGACATTATCTCTTCCCAAATATACTTCAAGGTTCCTTTGAGAAACAATTACCAATTGCAGACATGATCGACTACTTTCATTCAAAGTTGACCTCGAAGAATGTTGAGTCACAAAACCACTTGCATCTTCAACAACATTATGTTCTTCGGTAGAGAAACCTACAGATCGATCATATCTAGTACATACTACCACAAACTGAAAACGAAGTTGAAGAGATGAAAAAGATTCGTCATTCAAAACGGAAACAACTCCCTTAAAAAATTGTTCTGCTTCCTTCTCAATATTTGTTTTCGAAAATTCAGTTTTGTGATAAAATTTGAATGAAAATCCAACAACATAACGTGTTTGTCCATTATGGAATACAACATATGCATCAGGACCACTAGAATTGCCATCTTTCGGAACAAAAATACCACAACGTTGTAAATAATCCCTATAATGACCAGAAAATGAATCAGAGACATTTCTCAAGATGGGTATATCATAAGATTTTGTTGATTCCATAGAATAAGAAACACTGTCCTGCTCAATAAAAGAACCCTGGAAAATTCCTGGAATAGCAGAATGTACAATAGGCGAGGAATTAGAATGAAGAAAAGTTAATAAGCGAAAGCGAAAGATCTTCATAAATATAAATTCAAAGAAGACTCCTTTTGCTGTTGCATTGTCGGAAATATAACTAAACGGAGATAAAGGAAAGATTTCACTAGCCTCACGGAAAAATTTATAGCTGCTATGAGCTCGCAATATAAATTCACAACAACCAATCTTGAATTCGGTGCCCATATCAATCCCGTCAATTCCACAAAATTCACAGTAAAACCCAAAAGTTGCAACCAAGTCCATCAAATAAGTTCTCGTTCCACATAGAGTAACTACAAAGTCAATTGGAAAAATTGTTCCGAGCTGATAATTCAAAAGGACAAATTGATATCGAAGAAGGGTTGCGGAATCTAGTATCTCCGGAATAATAAACGTTCCCGACTCATTTAGTATATCTTCAAAGACACTATCTAATAAAAGTTCCATATTGTCATCGTTGATAACAGGTTGAGATAAGTTCGCAACTTTCTCTACTAGGGCTAATAAAGTATTCCTTACAATCAACGGAATGCCCCCTGTCTTCTTTTTCAACAACTCTACGAATCGATATCGTAAATCATCAGAGGGCAATAAACAGTCCTTCAAGGACTTTCCACTATAAGTTGCCAGCTCAATATATTCGTTAATATCATGGAGGTTAAAGGGATTCAACCGCAACATATGGAGGGTGACACTACTAGAGCGAGCATCAGACAGGCGGGCTGAGATTTCGGCAGTTCGCCCAGCAATATACAAGATAACTTTTCCTGTATCAAGCAACTCACCTACAGTTCGAAAAAATTTGCGATACGGGATATAACCTGGATCGGACTCGACGAACTGTTTCGTGGTAAGTTCACTATAGTATGTGGTGAGGTCACTCAGGTGACTAAGTTCGTCTATCATCAAAAATAAATATTGTTTCTGAAATTGTTCGAGAAGATACTGGACAAATAAAAAAACACTTGGTTGCTTCATCGCTGCGTCCGTGAATTCTACAATTTCTCGGGCAGTCATACCATTACACTGGGCTGTAGCCATAGCTATGTTATACATCAAAGCCTCTAGAAACCTTGGAAAAGGAGCACGAGAAAAGCTCTCTCCTAGTTTAAAGCAAACTGACAAAGTGTTTTCCGCAAAGTGTTTCCAAGAAAAAAACTTCAAATCAACTTTTCCCGACGAGCTCTTGTTGAAAACCTCCGTCTCCTTCTGCTCTTCTTCTTCGTCGGCGAATTTTTTTAAAAACTTTAAAAAATTTTCACCAACACAACTCTTGCCCGCCCCAAAAATGTGAGGGGAGAAGCAAGCTGCAGGACGTAAAAGATCTAATTTTCCCGCAGCTGAAGAAAACTGGTCGTAATAAGTTCGAAGAATAGAATAAACATCTTCTTTTCTATCTATCAACGGTTCGTTCAAACTCATTTTACACGTCGCCGCCAATCCGAAATCAATTCACAAGTAATGAATAAATGAATGACCGAAATACTTTCACAGGAGATGGAAGAGAGTGTATGTTTTATTGTTCGAGCGATTGGTTTATTTGGTTATTGGTAAAACTGATCTCTTTGACACTTCTAGAAGTACAATGACAATAGAGAGAAAGCAGGAATATTTTCTTGCTTGTCATAACTAGAAACTTTCTT